TTGGTGTTGTCTCGGTGGAGCGAACTGCTGGGCGTGATTCCCCCGAACGCCCTAGACAGCTTCGCACATCGGGCTCATCGGGCTCTTCAAGCACTGGCAAGATTAGAGCGGTCCGAACATCCGAGGACAGCAAGGCCTCGGGTCGTGCCGACAATCTGGCGCGGAATTTCGAGGAACTCATTCAGAGTGACCAAACGATTCAATTCACGCTTACTCCGGAAAGCATGCGTGATATGGACGTGAGTTTAAGCCTTTCCTATACTTCAATCACGTTACTAACAGCCAATCAGAACAATCGGGCGCGCACTGCAAGTCCTGCCGTGGGTGCTAAGTCGAGACGAAGCGAGGATGCTCGGACGGCAATGGGTGGTGAACGGAACAGATCCGTTTCCGGCGCTGACATCAGAAGAACTATGTCCGTCAGTCGTGCAACAGGTTTAAACTCTCATCCTGTCGAGTCCAAACCCAAAGGCTTCGTCCCCAAAGCACCTCCAAGCACCACATTGACCAGATCGAGAACGAACGGCCCAATGGCTAGAGATGCTCGAATCCCTCGCGATACGTCCATGAACGACTTCGCAGACTTCATTCGGTCGACCGGCCCGACTGCTGACAACGGACCTGCACCGCTACGCAACATCAGCGGCCCGCCGCCGCCGCCTGTGAAGCACAGCCTTGACTCGAGACGCATCTCGTCATCGACCAATCGACCCCGCCTTCAGGCACGCGACGCTGCCGTCGACAATCGAGAGGACAATTCCGACCTCATCGATTTCATTCGGCGAGGACCTCCCAGCGCTAACAATCCTCGTATTCCACGCACTGTTGCTCCGTTTCGCACCACTATGGATTCTGACCAGATGTCAGGTGCCGTTGGCGGTAAAGCTGTTGACGCCAGCCTGCCAGACATTCGGTACAGCCAGGCATCGACCAACGTGACGGACATCACGATGCCCTCCGTCCAATCGTCGATTAACTCGCAAAGTGCGCTCCTCAAGAACCGCCCCAGCGCCAACACCTTTGACGAAGACGACATGATGCCGAAGCGCACCAGACGACGCGTGCGTGACCCCTACGCTATTGACTTGAGCGACGAAGACGAGGAAGATTACGCCCAAGCCGTTCGACCTCCCCCCAAGAAGGAGGAAAGCTTGGCGGACTTCCTCAAAAACTATCAGCCACCACCTGAGCCCGCCGCTCCTGTCATGCCGCAGAACATCAAGCGAAAGGCCAGCGCTCCCAGCCTTATCGGGCGATTTTCGAGGAAGGACAGCAACGCTGGATCGACTGCGAAGCCACCCAAGATTGACAGCCGTTCGCTGAATAGCCGTGCTGGAGCTGCCGGAAACGGCCATGTTCCGATTCAGGTTAACATGTCTTCCGGCCAAGACAAGTACGGCGCTGGTGACGCCACTGCAAGCCGGCCCGCCATGCATTCCTCTGCCGGACGCGTGCCAATGAAGAAGTTCGAACCAAGGGAGGCCGTCTCTTCCACGAGCCGCACCACCGACCTGGCTTCATTCCTCCGCAACGCCGAGCCCCCACCACAGGCCCAGCCAGCCCGCTTCAGCCCTCCTGCTGAGCAGCAAAGCAGCGGCAGTGGCTTCTCCAAGATGTTTGGTCGGCGCAAGAAGTCGAGCTTGGCCTAGTTGCCCAAGCATCGCCCTCGCGGGGCCACGACATGAACGAACCTCATGATCTCTCCGTCGCCTATGAACAAACCATGTACCCCCTGCTCTTTCCTGTTGAACTATCGTTTGAAAACCACCTGTTTCCTCGGTCATGTTTCCTCCCAGATGGGATCTGTCGGTACAAACGCCGCAGCCCTCAGCACCATGTCTACTACTCTCTCGCGTTGAATGCCTGATTTTGCATCAATGCTTTGATACCACCTTGCCCAACCAGACGGGCGAGAATCATGTTTCTCTTCTTTTGCGACCTTGACCAAGGATTTGCAGATTGCTATTTGCATCGTTTTCTATTTTTGAATAATGGCATGGGGATGGAAAAATGGCTTTTGACAGACATCGGGATCCGGACAGAGGATTAGCCCTGTTCGGATACATTTTAAGGCGCCACAAAGGCAGACGAGACAAATAAAATCCATCCCAGTTGCTTACGTCGTGCTCCATGGTTCCGTGCACGGTGAAGATTGCAACACGACTCTTGCTTGGTGCTTTAACGCCGTGCATGTTCCCCGCCCAGTGAGAGGCAAGTTGGTGCCAGCAGATGGACGGCGTGACATGATGGTTACGCCGTGATTCCCGCTTGCGAGAGGTAGTTTCGCGAGGTACCCTGAGTATGGTTTGGGGTATACCGCGGTTCTAGCTGTATGTATATATATGATGTTGACGTTGGCGACTTGGATGGCTCGATCAGCGAATGACAAGGTATCCAGGAAGACGCTTGAGGGACATGGCAGAGAGAAGGAGAGGTGGTTTTTCTGCGGGGTGTATTGTTGAGAAGTGGTATGTCGAACGTCGAAGGGTAATACTCCAGCGAATGAGAAGGGGATACGGAGGAATGAGAGACGATGGAGAAGGACCATGTGTAGGTGTGAATGTGTGTGTTTAGCATATGGTGCGTATGATTGGTGTCAGCTCTCTGGCCTTGATGGGTAGAGGCCTCTCTGGCATTCATACCATTCTCAGTCTGTGAAAGTCAATTTGTACTCTAACTTGTATTTGAAAGATGGGCGGGGTTATTTTGAAGCAGAAATCCTGGGGGTAGAGTTCTATTCAATGCTTGTTGCGAGACGATATGAATGGACAAGAGGTTGATATAAAAGAGGCCTTCTCCGGAGTAAGTGTCTCACTCAGGACGCAGAGGATGGTGGGTTTGAAGGCATCTTGGTTTAGTTGATAAGGTGGGAAACAGTCAGTGCCCGAGCCTCATGTCATCTTGGACATCGAGAAGTGCTAAGCCGCCTTTGGTTTGGTGATTTGCCACCGCTGGTCATCTCTGCCCTTGCTCGCATATTGACTTTGGGTATTCCAAGAGGCAGAAGATTTGGTAGCTATGGTTATTTCCTATTGCCAGGCATGTAACGTGATTTTCTCGGAGGTGGGCATGCTCGCGTTGAACAGGACGATAGCGACGTTCCGGTACGTGTTTTGAATATCATGACAACCGAGCGACTAATCGTTAAATACGAAAACGAGATCTCCGGGTAGACTGGTCTCGCAAACAGTGAGTTCTCGGGGCGGTAGGGACGTCAGTCTCGTACCAGACGGATATGATAGAGCCATGACTTGGGGGTGCTTTCCATGATATAAATGGGGTCGAAGTGTTGTGCCTTTGAAGGAACCAATCGGATTCGTTTGAGAATTGATGAGCGTCAGTTCTAGTGAACTCTTGGCCAATGTCGCGATGTACACGACACGACGTAACTTCAAAGATGACAATTGACTGTATGACTATTCGTCTAATACCTAGGCAGGGATGGGAAGAGCAGAGGCTGGAGGATGAGAGAGTTTTGGCGCTCCGACATCTACGTTGCGGTCGTTATCATTAAGGACGAAACGGTGAATTTCGTGAGTAGGTTATGCGCATCGAAGGAAAAATCGACAGCCGTGGGCGTTCGCGTTGTGTGCCGAGTACTTGGTCATGATCTTCACGATATCTTTATACAGCTATCGTCAGAGCTGTTTGCATGGCTGCAAGATGATGACATTAGAAATCTCAAGATGGCTGACATAAATTAAGTAGGCTTATACGAGATCATGGGCCTTGGCCAAGACAATATAACCAAACAGTAACGATTGTGACTCGTCTTCTCCACTGCTGTAACAAGCTGTTGTCATCTGGACAAGAATTCTTGGGCCATCTGCTTGACTTAACGTTTTGGCCAGAAACATATCCTATTTTCCTGCTGTCTTCCCTGCCTTTTGAGTATTGGAGAGGTATTGTGTCTCCAATCGAGAACCGGGCTGCGGGATTCTCGCGAACTCTCAGCAGTCCCGTGCGGAAACGTCCAAGATGACTTCTGATACTGATTTGTAATGACACAGAACTTGCCGGCAGGTAATTTGCTGTGACAAGATCTCTGGTCCGTGTAGTGCTGCTTTTATGCTGACGAGGAGGTCATGTCCAAATACTATTACACAGTTGACGAAAACCGACTCTGTATCACTTTGGTATGCCAGAGATAGTCATGAGAGGAGGCTGGGGGGCTGACATCAACGGGATTGTGAAGTCACTGTTGGGTCAACGTTCCGCATTCAAAACCAATGACATCGGGGGTGACGGTTGTTTGATGAACGTGCTGTTCACTCGTGAATTGTATTGCACACCTAATGAAAATCTCCGAAACTCAAAATTACAACGAAATCAGTCCGTCTGCGTCCTCTCCTTCTCCTGAAAAGATCGTCATGTATCCTCTGATATACGAGAAGCATGCATTAAATCATTGTCTTCCGGTCCCAATGACAAGCAAGACATCCGAGTATGTTCCTTTTGTCTTGAACGAACCACCAGAGTGTCCACGTATAAGATCTCGACCCCTTAGGGAGACTCCACGTTTGCGGAATCCGGAACTACGGCGCAAAAGACAGTCTCTGGCGCAATCTCTGGCGCTCAATATTACATATCCTCAAGTAACCCGGGCTAGGGGATGTTCCATGAACTTTCATGGGTAAGGGAAGACTGGAATCTTGCAATAAGGCTCCTCCAGGTGCTGAGATGGTTCGCGCGAGGCGTGGTATCATCAACGATCAAGAACAGCGTAGAAAAGCTCCAAACCCATGGTGAACCACAGTCAAGTCATAGAAACAATCAAAATGATCATAACCCAGAATTGCGTCATGACTTTGCATTCTATCAGTGTCGATCTATCTATTAAGAGACCCAACCAGCCATGTGTCATGATTCTGACGAACTATCAACCGTTTTCTCGAAAGCCTTCTCGTCTGCCGAGGCAGCGACGGAGAACGTGACCTCAAAGCCAATCAGAGAGTCACGAAGCGTACCATATCAGGATGCGTGTACCGAAAGGGAAGCATCTACCAGCCGCCAGTGTCCTGGGGGGCGGTGTTGTCACCACTGCCCCAGGCATCAGCGCCAGTGTCGTTGGAGGCGCCGAAGTCACCACCTCCACCACCGCCATCGCCGAAGCCGTCAACGTCCTCGGCAGGGGGGTTAGGGCACTTGTACTTCTTGTGACCCATCTCGCCGCAGTTCATGCACTTGATGCGGGTGACTGTTGGAGACGAAATCAGTCAATGTAACGAAAACATGAGAGGAGATTTGCATACCATCCTGAGGCTTGTCGCAGTCACGGGAGTGGTGGCCCTCTTCATCGCAGTTGCGGCACTTGAGCTTGCGAGGCTCGGTGCACTCCTTGGAGATGTGGCCTTCCTGGCCGCAGTTGTGGCAAGAGCGACCACCACCACCGGCGGTGTGACAGTCACGGCCGAAGTGGCCCACTATAGAAGATTAGCTGTTGAAGTTGACTATTGTTAAGAATAAATAACATACTCTCATTGCACTTGTTGCACTCGACGCCCTCGGCACTGCGAGGCTCAGTGCACTCGGAGACCTTGTGGCCAGATTGACCGCAGTTTTTGCAAGCGAACTTGTCGACACGAGGGGTAGGGCCTAAGAATCTGGTCAGTCAGGGATGGTTGATGAAGACATCGAATGAACTTACAGTCGCGGACGCGGTGACCCTCCTCGCCACAGTTGTAGCAAGTGATAGTGACGCGAACCTTCTCGTTGGGATCCTGGGGACAAGCCTTGGCGGTGTGGCCGAGCTCATCGCAGTTGTTGCACTTCTGCATGAGGCGAGAGACGGGCTCACCAGCATCGGCAAGACGCGCCATGTTCTCCTCGGCAGAAGCAGGCCATCCGGCCTTCTCACGGGCACGGTCAGGCTGGGAAGAGAAGCGGTATTGGACAGTGAACTTCTTGCCCAGGTTGCCCTGAAGGTCCATGTTAGTGTGAGTAGGAGCAAGAGCACGCTCGGTAGCGATGAGGTAGATGCCCATCTCCTGGCCACGGAAAGCCTCCTCAAGGATGACATAAGTCATCTCAGGGAAATGCTTGAGGTACTTCTGAATGGCCTCCTTGGCCTCAACACCATCGCGCTCGTCAGCTGCTTCGATGATCTGGTTCCAGGCCACATCAGCGTCGACATCCTCGATCTTACTGAGGTCAATCTTGCGAGGGTTCTCGCAGTTGACGACGAGGTGACCTGCAGGAATTAGTAAATAGATCGTATTTTGCAATTGGGGAACGAAAGGCACTTACCCTCCTCGTGGCAGTTGCGGCAAACTTCGGGAGGCTTGTTGGGGCAGTCCTTGCGGATGTGGCCCTCCTCGCCGCAGCTTCTGCAAGCCATGGGGGGAGCGTCAGGGCAGTCACGACGCATGTGGCCCTGCTGACCGCAGCCCTTGCACTCGCCATCGAAAGGCTTGGCAGGCTCGGGGCAATCGGCCTTGTTGTGGCTGTGGATAATGTCAGTAGACCGTGATGTTGTGAAGAAGACGTGACTTACCCATCCTGACCGCAGTTGAAGCAGGCGCCGCGCTGGCCGCCGCCACCCTCATCGCCATCGCCTCCAGAGGGGTTGTTCCAGGGGTCGCCACAATCTCCAGCACCTCCAGAGGTGTCGTTGGTGCCCCAGGCGTCGTCGGTACCCCAGCCAGACATACTGTCGTCGATGAAGGAGTAGTCGGAGAATTGATCGGGTGAGTGATTGTCAACTTGGTTGACAGAAGTGGCCGAGACTGGTTTCGACAAGTCAGTGAGGCTGGCCGGCAGACGGAGATGCGAGGGAAGAGAGTGAGAAAATCAAAGGTGGTGAGGAGGAAAGATTTTTTTCTGAGGAAAGAAGTGGAGGTGAGTGTAAAATGCAGAAGGAAGTAGACAAAATTTTGTGAAGGCAGGAGGGTATCTGAGGGAAGGGGCAACTGCACTGGCAGTCTTGCGGGAAGGAATGAAGGTGGGAAGGAGAGAAAAACAGTGTAAATTTGGAACCTTCGTCTGGCTGATCTTGACTTTGAGGCTCTTGACGCGGTTGTCTCAGATATCCCAAGGCCAAAGAAGATCGAAAATTCTCTTGGACCTCGGCGTAGGCGGCTCTCAGCTCAGGATGATCACAGTCCGAACCGAGATAAGTCGAGACGGACGTGTGATCATCGTCTGAGGCAATCGCCGCAGCCGACCCCGCCGTCATGAACACCGCCAAAGCGGACATTTCTCTTCAAACGCACACAAATGGCTGATAGAAAAACGAGAAGAAAAATCCGCAAACAACAGCTTCGGGCTGCTGAAATTGGAGGGAATTCCGTAAGGATCGCGAAGCTTGTTTTTTCGACGATGGGGGTGCGTGGTGATTGAAATTTGTGAAGTTCGACGGGAAAGACGCTGCATGGTAGAGAGGAGAGAGAAAATGACTTACTGGGTTGCTTGTTCGTACTGATCTCTGCCGATTGTCTCGTTGCGCATTGGGTTCTCACGGATCCCAAATGGTGGTGTCGAAGGTCGCGTTATGGTAAAGTTGACCTGCGATGGTGTCGTTGTGAGGAGAAGAAGAAGAGGAAGAGATTTTGAATTCGAGAAGGGCAAGAGTTTTATTTCAGAATGAGAAGATCCAGTGCTTGCTTAGTCGTCGAGGGAGCTGGCCTCGCTGCCTCGTTGGCGCTCCTGTTTGAAGCTGTCGATGTCTTGAGACCCGCGAGATCGAGACAAGGCCATTGGAGACCCATGCGGGGCACGACACTGACTGGAGGGCCACACCGACTTTGGCTTTTGAAGAGTTCCAGAGCGTGAATGAAGCTGCAAGCGAGGTAAATATGAAATAAGCCCCCTGCCTTCATTTTGATAATAAACTGCACTCTTTGTCGTGTGGTCTAAGACGTTTCTTTGTCGTGATGCTGAAGATGCATGTCCTAGATGTGGTCAGCCAAATCCTGACTTACATCTCTCGGAGCTCTAGTCAGAATTCCCGGTTCTCTACTTGAGTATTCATGTATGAGTTTGAGCAAACCTTTTACTTCAGCATATACAGCCCAACCCGTTCCCAGGGGATACGAAGGACATGCTTACCAAACTTCGGATTGACGCAACAAAATTATCAAATCAGAAGTATGCATCAATAGTTCACACGAAGCTCCCATAATCTGGAATTGCGTTGATTTTCAGGCATCTTGCAAACAGACGGCTCGTAGCGAGTACCCGCTGTGCATATGTTCTTCCATAGGCCGTACTACGACAGTTTCACCAGGGGCTGGAAGGGAGTATTTCAACCGTCAGGGAGTGAAGACCGGTTCATGGCATAAGCCGACCTAACTACTGTAAGGCAAGATGCGGGTTTCCTTCCTTCCACCGTTTCACAGAAGAGCTGCCATGAGGATGCGGAAAGTTCATGAAAGTCGCGGATTGGGTTTGTTGACAACTGTGATTCTGTTATCTTTTAGCCTCCACGCCTCGAGTTTGTAGGACGAAAATCGACAAGACGGACTTGGGGAAGCTATCTGCGTAGCAGCGTCGTCTATCTCAATAGAGAGAGGCTAGCGGAGACTTCCCACCGTATGACTCCCTGCCGACTTGGTTAATTTGAGACCTGCATGTAGAGGCATCAAAGCCGCGTGTGCTAGCAGAACCCGACAGGCCGGCTCGGGAAAAAGGCTCGCTTGTGTCTTGCATGTTCGGGTCGGACTAGCTTCTCAGGCATGGAAGCCGACCAGCAAGCCGGTCCAATAGATACCAGCACCTCGTTCATGCCGATGGTCGGTTCGAATCGAACCAACTGCGGCACAGCGATAGTTCGATTCCTCCCCACGCCGTCTCGTCACCTTGATGGAAGATGTGTCGTTGGTGAATTAGTAAGCCGCACCATTCGCCAACTCGGGGGAATCGGAGCAGCGAGATGGTAGCACACCTGGCGGAGGACCCGCATGATGACAGGGATGTTAGTGGTGCGAGCGTGGTTGCGGGTCGCAGCTCGACACAAACGGTCGCGCTTGGAGGGGCAGATGGAGGGGTAATTTAGCGTGGCTCTCGCTAAAGTCCCTTGGAGATGGTGACATCAACAGTTTTTTTTTTTCTCTCCTGGGGCTGTCTCTGTGATTGATTTCTGTTGCGAGGTGATATATTCAGTCTACGAGTGAGGCGGTCTTCTTCCCGATGAGAGGAAGTTGGAATTGCCTCGGAAACTTCTGAAGCCAACCGAAGGTTGTATGCGCTCGTCCCGTCGCAAATTCTAGAGCTCGGGATTAAGCTTCCCGCCGGTCATAGCTCTCCCACCCAGGCACACAGGGACGAGCAAGGAAGGCAGCATGAAACTGGCGTAAGTCTGCTGTATTCATCCCTACTCTTGTAGACCAGGCTTCCGTACCTCATGGTACCCGGCCAACCACCCACCACAGAGCCTGAACAAATCAGTGACACGAGTTGCCGCTTTCCCATGGCGGGGTTGATACCGGCAGCCCCGCATCCTGGGAGCTTGACCGCATCGATACGGCTCCTACACCACCCGGCACAGGACCGGGACTGGACATGGGATGGAGCTCTACTGGTTGGAGCTTCCTTCTTTGAACACGAGCCGGTCCTCTTTTAATCTGGGGGAGACTATAAGTAAGGTCCCTCGACCCATTGCGTGACACCTGCTACTGTCCTGTCCCCCTCCAAGTCTGCATCTTCCCTCCAACCTCGCTCCACCTCATAATTCCCCAAGCAAACATCCAGAACCGCAAACATGTCCAAGCCCGAGGATCTTCCCCCTATGGAGTACCGCTTCCTGGGCCGTTCCGGTCTCCAGGTCAGCGCCATCAGCTTGGGAGGCTGTGAGTTTTAACGTAACACCGTACAATTGCGACGTAAACTGACTTCTTACAAGGGCTGACCTACGGTGGCCATGTCGACGCTGGTATGACCGCACTCCTGGCCCCCTCCTTGCCATTGAACGCTCACAGCAAATAGAGGGTACCTTTGCCTGCATGAAGGCCGCCTACGACTCCGGCGTCAACTTCTTCGACAGCGCAGAGGGCTACGCTAACGGCGAGAGCGAGATTGGTACGGATACTCTCTCATACATACGGACGACGCGATAAGGGACTGACTCCAGTCATAGTCATGGGCCAGGCCATCAAGAAGTACGGCTGGAAGCGCAACGACCTCGTCATCTCCACCAAAGTGCGCAATCTTCCTAGAGTGAATCGACCATGTTGAGAAACACAAAAAGCTGACGAGCGCTTGTCGGGCAGATCTACTGGGGCGGAGCTTTCGGCGACAACGTCGTGAACAACAAGGGCCTGTCCCGCAAGCACGTCATCGAGGCCATGGACGCCTGCCTTGAGCGTCTCGACCTCAAGTACGTCGACCTCGTCTACGCTCACCGGTAAGCAAGCCCTCTCCTCTTCACCACAGCTCCTTCTGACGGCCTCATCACAGCCCCGATCGTCAGACCCCCATGGAGGAGACCGTCCGTGCCTTCAACCACCTCATCAACACCGGCAAGGCCCTGTACTGGGGAACCTCAGAATGGAGCGCCGACGAGATCGCCCAGGCCTGGCGCTACGCCGACAAGCTGAACCTCGTCGGCCCCGTCATGGAGCAGCCCTCGTACAGCATGCTCGACCGCAAGAAGGTTGAGCACGAGTTCGCCCACCTCTACCGCGAGGTCGGCACCGGCCTGACCGTCTTCTCCCCGCTGCGCCAGGGCATCCTCTCCGGCAAGTACAAGAACGGCATCCCCGAGAACTCCCGCTTCGGCTCCGAGAACATTGGCTTCATCAAGGACTTCTGGAAGCGCGAGAACGCAAAGAAGCAGTTCCAGGACCTCGTCGACAAGGCCAACAAGATCGAGCCCATCGCCGAGAAGCTCGGCATCAAGATGAGCACCCTCGCCCTCGCCTGGGTCCTCAAGAACAAGAACGTCAGCTCCGCCATCATTGGCGCCAGCAGCCCCGAGCAGGTCTTTGAGAATATGTACGCCATTGGCGCCCAGGAGAAGCTTACGCCCGAGATCATGAAGGAGATTGACGAGGCGCTCGACAACAAGCCAGACGCCATTATCCCCAGATTCTAAGAGTGTAGACGATAAATAAGAAAGGATAATCTGATTTTGAAAGTGCCGGGTATATATCCTGACCAGGAGGGCGTGTCTCCGGAGCAGCTTGATGAAAGCACTGTTGAGCTATAGTTTGATACTAATCCCGAGAAAGAGCACCTTAATAGCAATCATAGACAGTTGCAAGTAAGCTACGCTGAACGTGTAGGAAAAATTCCCAGCTCTGTAGAGGGAGATGATTAGCAACTCGTCAGATCTGAAGGTCGAAATATCGTCTTCGAGGACGAGGAGGAGCCGGCAAGCCTCGCACTTACCGATTTTGGTCGTCCGATAGATCAGTCAACATGCCCAATATGGCTCCCTCAACAACGACTTGCCCTCCGCCGACCAAGCTAGACAAAACCCAGTAGAGCAACATATTCCACCCATCACGCGTTGTGTGGTAAATCAAAAGCTTGCCGACGATCCATGTGAGCGAGCCGAAAGTAACGAGTCTTTCGCGGAAGTTGGCTCGTAAAAAGACGTACGCGGCGAGAAGGCCTGTCCTCTTGCGTTAGAAATAGATTTTGGCAAATGGCACCGTAGACCTCGGACAAACGGAAATCTCTTACCACCAATAGCCTCAAAGACCGAACTAATCGCGTTGCCTCTTTCGATGATTTTTTCAATCTCTTCGATCCGGCACAAGGGGTCGTCGTAAGGGAAGGCGCGGGTCAGGTTCGTGGATGTATTGTTGTAGTGGCTATTGCATGTGATCTCCCGAAAGAGAATTTCGATCGGCTTGTCGATGAGAGTCTGGCCAAATTTCAGTAGTAGACTGCAATAATTATTGCAACAAGATGCGCGCCGTACCCTTGGGCTCTGTCGGCGGGCATTTCGGCAACTGACTTGCTCGAAACTATAGTCGGTGATGCTATCTCAGGCGGGCTTAGCATGCTATAGTATCAGCGACGATGTCGAAAGAAAACAGAGCGAGATGGACGTCGTGGCCGTAAACTGGGAAAGAGACATGTCTGGTTCGTTTCTCAAGGTGTTTTGGGGACACAAAACGTAGTTGATATAGTTCTGGCAGGAACAGGGACATACACCTTCTCTACGCGAGAAGGTGGGATGAAGTCGCTTGAGTTCAGTTAGGTAGGTCCCTTCTTGCCTTTTACACACTCCAGAAATCAAGTTCCACGGAAATCGTAATATCGTAGACCATCCGTCAGGATAGCTCAAACATCAACACGCTCATATACCTGCTTTCCACCAACCCAAGTCTCCTTCACCTTGAGGTCCCGCAAGTCGTCAATATCCATGGACTCGAGCGGCTGATCCAAAACGACCCAGTCAGCAAGCGCGCCCTCCTTGATAACGCCTGCACGTCCGTCCATGAAAGCGCCGAAAGCGGGTCCCTTGGTAAACCCAAGCAGCGCCTCCTCCAGGCTCAACGCCTCTTCGGTATGCCACCCCTCAGAGCTTCCATTCGCGCCGTTGCCTGTATGAGGACTCTTCCGCGTGACGGCAGCGTATATGCCCTGGAACGGGTTGGGTGGCTCCACCGGGAAGTCGCTCCCTAGGATGGGGCTGACGTCGAGGAGAGAGCGCATGCGGTAGGCTTCCTTCTTGGTGCGGTCGGGGCCGAGGCGGAGCTCGGCGTACTTCATGTCGGAAGTCGCGTGTGTCGGTTGAATGGAGGGGATGATGCCAATGGCGTGAATTCTCTTTTGGTCTTCTTCATGGATGATCTGGGAATGCTCGATACGGAACCGCCGCTCGGACTGGCATTTTGAAATGTCTTCACCAGGGCACGCTTCTTTGAGACCGGCTTCCAGGGCATCGACGGCGAAACGGGTTGCAAGGTCGCCGATGGCGTGGATATTGACTTGGTAGCCGACAGATGCCCATGATTTGCCGAGTTGTAACAGTGTAGACCCGTTGACAAGGAGTGAGCCGGACATGTCGGGGCGGTCACTGTAGGGCTCGATCATGGCACTTCCCCAACTTCCAAGAGCACCGTCTAATACAAGTCAGCACATGTCATTAACCAACGATTTAGGGGACGAATTACCAGCAAAGAGCTTCACAGACTTGACGCTGAACCGATCATCCTTGCGGAGCACACGAGCAGCATCATCCGGGCAAAACGTGTTTCGCTGAGCGCACTCCAACATGGCGTAGACTCGAACAGTCCAGTCCTCTGTCTGCGCCATGTCCGCATATAAGTCAAGTTGATCGGGGAAGACGCCAGCATCGTGCATGCCGACCAAGCCAACCTCGTTCAGCTTCGCCATTGCGGCAGATACAAAAGCTCGTTTCTTCTCAGGGCCAGGCTTCGGCCACAGATTTGTGACCAAGTCCATGGCATTGTCACAGAAGACGCCCATGCCAGGCTCCCTGACAATCTCGCCCCCTGGGACGTCGGGGATATCTGCTGGCAAGAGGTCTAACACGGCTTGCGAAACCCAAGCGCAGTGGACGTCAATTCTGTCGAGCATGAAGTACTTGCCCTTCAGGAGTTCATCTTCTTCGATATCCGCCTTATCGCGCATCAGTTTAATTACTCAACCCACAACGACAGACAACTCACGGCGGTAGGCATCTTGCCGTACGCATTCTGGTCCCACCCAATCCCTCGGATCCATTCGTCCTTCGTACCAGCATCGGGATGGCTCTCCAAGTAGTCTCGCAGGCGACCCCTTACGTCGTTCAAGGTGCTAGCACCAAACAAGTCGGCCGAGTGAAGGAACTCTCCGTATTGAATCAGATGGCCGTGACCGTCCCACAAGCCGGGGATAACGTAGCCGACATTCGTGGTTAAGCTGGCATCTTCCCAGGGAAAGACGCGAGTGAACTTTCCGTCCAACACCGTGAAGCATTGAGCGGCTGGCTGGGTTTCATCGTGTGTTCGAACGCCTTGGTAGCAATAAGTCGTCTCAGTGTTGTTGCTAAAGATTGGCTGCTGGAGACGGACAACGGCCAGAGCCACGCCAGCGACACCGGCCGAGATCGCCATGCCCCATCTGACAATCGGATTAGAAGCCATCGTGCCACAATGTTAGTTAGGCATGGACTCAACGTAATGGCCTGAATTGGCTCTCGGAGGGTGGACAGGCCCCGAAATTCAGTGTGGATGATAGATATTCTTATCGCCGACCATTTGATAAGGAAGCTTATCTTATCTTATCGAAGCTCAACATGTGCAGGGATCGTGGGAGCTACTCTTGTTGACTGGACGTCGTATCCTATCTTTATCAGCCTTTCCTTCATAACGTCGGGCGTCTTCTTTCCATCAAACCCCTCGCCTGTCTACATCAAGTCGTGATTGTTGTTCTTCAGCAAGTGCATTGGGAGGAACACCTTTTGGGTTTATTCAACTCTGATTTCCCTAGATTGATATTGGCAGCTTTGGGTTTGGTCTAATGACCGATATGAGACAATCGTGCATTCCACGACCAAACGGCGTGGCACCTTGGCAGCAGGAAAACGGCAGTTTTGGTGATGTGGCTTTCTTTGTCCAAAAGCCTATTTCGACGAGTACAATACTATGTACTTGCTTCTACAGCGTGCCAAGACACGCTCTCAACTCTGGCTGGTCTACACAAGCGTGGGGGGAGGGGGTAAGCAGAGCTCCTGCTTACAGTAACATGGGCCATTGTAGCCTGGCATCAGTCTCAAGATGCACTGTGAACTTGAGAAACTGACCAGCCTCGTCAGCTGAAGTAGCCTTTGCTCCATACTGCTCGCAACAGACGCCATCATGACCCTGACAAAAGACCAGCTCGCCCGTCTCTCCGAGACAGACGTCCGCAATACCATCCCGCCGGAGGAACTCCTCCCAGCCCTGACCTCGCCGCCTTTCATCCCGTCGACCTCTCTCATCAACGTTCGCGAACTCGGGGCCGTACCAGGCTCAGCCATCCTCTCCGGTCTAGCGTACCGCTGCGGAACGCTCGAGCTCGCTGCCGCAGACCCGCAGGCCCTCGCCTGGCTCTCCGCCAGCGTGAAGCGCATTTTCGACATTCGGTCACCTGAAGAACGCGAGAGAGCCCCGGACCCGCAAATCAACGGCGTCGGAAACATCTGGTTCGACAGCACTAGTGTCGACCTCCCACCCGTCCTGGACGAGTTCGTCGAGGGTGGCGGCGAGGCGGGGCTGAGGAAGGAATACCTCAAGGTGCTGGACATCTACCGACAAACCTTCTCCGCCGTATTGGAGCACATACGAGATAGACCTGGGGAGCCGTTCCTATTCCACTGCACGGGTAAGTAAGCCTCATTCCTCGTGTTTACCCTTTTGACGGTCTGTAGACTGACACCAGCTCAGCGGGACGAGACCGCACAGGCGTGCTAGCTGGCATCTTGCAGTCCCTTGCCGGCACTGCGCCCGATGATGTTCGTTTCGATTACATGCTCTCACGCATAGGCACCGAGCCCGCTCGTGAGAGGCTCCTCCGGTACGCCCGCGTTGGCACAGGGACGACTGCCGACGACGAACACCCGGGCTTTTACAACATGTGCAGCCTGCGGAAGTCCTGCTGGGACGCTTTCGTCGCCGGGGTGGAGGAGACGTACGGCGGGTGGGAGGGCTACGTGACCAAGACACTCGGGTTTTCGACTGAAGACCTCGAGATAATCAAGCTTCATCTTCGTGAAGGTAATGCGTCGAAGAGCACGTCGTAGCTGGCTCCCAGCCGCGAACTGCAAATCAAGGCCGTTGAGCTACCCTGCGTTGACAAATCTTCGTCTGGAGCCATATACAGTCGATCTTGATACCTGCTATTCAACTTTCCAGCCTGCATCAAGGCTCAATTTTCATAAAGAATGAAGAGCACGGCGGTTGTCGATGTTTGCTGAAACGCAATTTCCTTGGTATCTCCCAACCTACGACCAACATCCCATCACAAACCTCAGTGGGCGTTTGCCGCCGTACTGATGAATGCGGTTTTTGGCATGAATCTGAAGGCAGTTTTCAGACATCAATACACCACCCCCATCGTTACTTACGGCCGGACCTTTTCCTTGGAGACCGCCCAATTTTCATGTGTATGCGCAGCTATATTTCCTGTGTACTTGATTACTCCTATCGCAGGCGATGATAACCATAACGACGACGGCGAGGTATAGTATAGCCACAGGAAAAACAGTCGGCATGACACGAGAAAAAACAGGCGGTCTCTTTGTTAAACCAGCCCCGAGACTAGCAGCATTTGAGCATGGACAGATTGTGGTGTTACTATGGAAGTGACAGGAAACCCGAGCAAGACAAACCAGAAGTGGAAAGTAGCCGAAGTCACGACCAAGACACCATTGTCATCCTTATCATCCAACACGAGCCCCCAAGACCGTGATAACCGCCCCTCGAGACAGAATATGTTATTTCCCCTCAGTGATCCCCCGTTCCATCACAATCCAGACCTCGACCCAGCAACTGTAGAGGCAAAAGATAACCTCCCAAGCGCCCTCTGACAGCAAAACTGACGTCGGAACCCAGCACATCCTTCGTCAGCCCGCAAATCCCTCCCGCGCCCGTCACTGCGACGGAAGGCCCTCGACAAGCACCGTTTTGGCATGGATAGACTTACACGCATCCTCAGCGCCCACACAAACACAGTCCGGTATGACATCATACCCACCTCAAGCCACATCCATACCTCCTCCGCGCCTGAGCCACAGCGCTGATTGGCGGAATCACTTATCTAGCGCCATTGCACAAACGCCTGACCCGAGCCACGGAGGCAGGGGTATGAGGCTCAACCCAATAGGATCGCTTCCCTCCTCGCACCCGCTACGTCACCAGCCACAGGACCCTCTCAAACTTGTTTTTTGCAGCCGACCGTTTTCTGGGGACCGTTCTGGACCTCACCGGGGTTGCGCATCTTTGACCTCACTTTCCCATCCAAGACGTGCTCAGCTGCCTTTTTCCTGCCCAGCCTGCTGTGGCTTTCGCACACACGTACAAACCACCCCTACGTAAGAATTTCCTCCAACCCTGGTCCATGACCCAAAGGATGACATTCTCGTCACCCAGACTCTGCAAGGGACGTCACATTCAGGGTCCAACCACCCCGCCGCCTCCTCCATCATTCTTCGTCAGAGGGAGGGCAAGAGACAAACCCAAGCGGAGACCAAGACGCAGGTTTTTGAGACCCTTCACGCATACCGCGTAACCCCTCCCCCTCCCAAGAACCCGAACGAACAAACTAGTTCGCCCACAATGTCGTAGCCCACCCTCCAGCGTTTGAAACACACGTAGAAGCTGCCCGTAGATCCCCAGCATTTTTGACATCATCCTCCGGACCCTGATCCTAAACCACCCCTGTCCACGCCGTGCCTCTGATGATGCCATCCAACGTCCTCAAGCTAAGCTCCAACTTTCCCAAAGAGCTCCCAGCCTTATCGCAACCTCGACAGAAAAGCATATAAACCATCCATCCACTCCCCGTTCATCCATCTCCCATTCCTCATCAGCATCAGCTACCAAACAAACAATCCCACCAACCAACTCTGCAAACAAAGCTTCAGACTCTCAAGTCTCCCAAACAAACACCACTACTTTTACAAATCTTCAAATAAACAACACAAACCACCCAACATGCCTCTCAGATCCACCCGCCACACCACCACCACCGCCCCCCGCCGCGGCGGCCTCTTCACTCGTCGCCGCGCCCCGGCTCGCACCCACCACCACCACGCCACAACCACAACTACCACCCGCAAGCGCGGCGGCCTCTTCTCCCGCCGCCACGGCGCCGTGACCACGGCCCCCGTCCACCACCAGCGCCGCAAGCCTTCCATGGGCGACAAGATCTCGGGCGCCATGCTCAAGCTCAAGGGTACCCTGACCCGTCGCCCCGGCCAGAAGGCCGCTGGCACTCGCCGCATGCACGGCACTGACGGCCGCGGCTCCCACCGCCGCTATCGCTACTAAATGGAGCGAGCCTACTGTACTACGATACCACAAAGCGTTTTATTTGTAACGGATCATGATGATGAGGGCTCAAATCCTCGAGAAGGATTGAGCAGGATTATGGATACCACAATTGTACTATTATTGAAGATGAGCGAGTTGGTTTGAAGATACCACGTCTGTATTACCACATCAGTATGGCAATTTAGACACTGTACAACAATTGAGAACATTTATACGAAGAAAGGACTTGTCTTGATCGATCTGAACTATTTACGCCCCTGAGAGAAATTATCCGCTACTAAACCATCCAGTGATCCCCCATGAACCTGTGCCTTTCCAGAGAAACTCCAAGTCCACCACTTGCATGCCGTTCGCTGACCCCTCCCTTTCAGCTGACCGATCCTTGACCCTTGCCCATTTAACCTGCTGTCAAGGTTTCCGCATTTGCACGCCCGTTCCTGAGCATGAAGAGACACAATCTGATAGAGAAGAGAAGCCGCAAAAATACGCAATTAACAAGGCGGGCAAGAGCCAGGTGCCTGGACCTGAAAAGGGCGCAGGGCTTGTATTATGGCTATGCTGTCTTGCTCAATCTTGTCTGTGATGACAAAAGGGTTGTCGCGTTCCGATGACATAGGAAATGGCGCGAAGTGTTGCGCAAGGCATCAAATCGGTTTTTTTGCTTTAGCTGCCAAGTGTTAGGAATTGAAATCAACACTACTGAGGCGGATGCCAGCCACTTACACAAATTTGTTTAGGAGGCAGACGTTAACCGTAGCTAGATGCATTGGTTGTTGATGCCACTCCAGTACTCAACAGGCCGTCAGGCAGCAGCAAAATGGTAATAGCTGACCGCAAACGTGCGAAGGAATGTCGTGCCTGATAGATCAGGGCAGTCGTGGTACAGAAAATTGCTGTCCACGTTGAGTGTTGTTGTAGGAGCCACAATTGTGGCAAGGTGCTTTCTAGAATGGAAGCGACAAAGAAATCGAGAATTTTCTGCCGCCAACCACCCAGCTGGTGGCTGATAAAACCAGATCGCAAAACAATCTCTTTTCAAAAAGCATGTGGCAGCTTTTCACGAACGACGAGAAGGGTAAATCGTTACGTCCTACTGCAACTCGTCCACTTCCAGCGCGCTCAGGTTCGCGGGCTGGCGCTGAGGGCCAAAGCGACGAGTCGGAAGCGTGGAGGACGGCTCGACAGGACGAGGGATCCGAGACTGCTTGTTCGACAGAACGGACGACTCGCGGGTATGCTGGCGGTCGGTAAGATTGCTGACGTCGTCGACGGTATCCTTATGGACAGAACGGGTCTTCATCGGAATATTCTTGTCGCGCGGGGTGAGTGCGCTAGGTCCGATCAGATCAGAGAAGTCTCTCACCAATTCGTCGCGCTTGTCGGAAGGAGCGTTGTTGATCTGAACGATGGTATACTCCCGAAAACGAGCCGGCATATCCGTCATATCCTCCTTGGTAGGCGAAGGATGCTTCTTATTCAACCTGTTGTTGCTGCGGCGAAGCTGAACTCCCTCGAAGTTGAGCTTACGCTGGCCAACGCTGCTGCTGGGGCCCTCACCATTGGAACTCTCACCCAGGAGAACAGTGTTGACTTGGGGATTACCGGCATTTGTGTACCGAGTGGAGGGACTCTCTACCGGAACAGGCTGCTTGTTGCTTCTGTTGCGCGGGGTCGAGGCGCATGCGGGTTTCTCGGACAAAAAGCCTTCGAGATCATCGTTCTCCGAGTCGAACGGGTTGATGGATGGAAATGGTGGCACGGGAGGTAAGGTCGAATCCGTGCTGACCTTTAGCTGATGCTCAAAAGGCGTAGGCGTGCGAACAAGCCCGCGCGGCTCCGAGAATGGGTCCTCTGGGGAGTTTGAACCACCACTACGCAGCGATTTGCCATCGTCATGAATCTGCTTGCGAAGGATGCGGCCTCCAACCATACTTCTGGGCTTTTCTTTGTTGAGGTTAAGCCCCTCGTTGACGCGGATCTCCATCGAGCTAACTGGGGACGGCTGCCCAGGGGACGACCGCACAGGGGACGGCTGCTCGACATGAAATTGCTTGGCCGGGTTTGGGAGATCACATTTGACCTGGCCAATGGGCAACGATATTTTGCCACGAATCTTTGATTCCGGGGTAGCAGGCTTCGCTTGGAACACATCGAAGGCCTTGCGAACCTTTGACATCAAGTTCTTGGGGCGAAAGCGAGACGTCTTTGGCGTACGCTCGGAGCCAGGGGGCTTCAAACTTCTGGTAGCCGCCAGCATCGCGTCGATCTTGTTATTGACGACATGAGGGTCGGCGTTGTTAGGGTACGTGTTTGGAGTCAACAAATCGGCCTGCTTGGCGAGTCCTCCCAGAGGTGCCGTCGTGGATCCAGCGATGAAGCCATCCCGCTTTCTGCCAGTGTCGAGTATAGTTGTTCTTGACTGGGGAAAGGGGCGCCTAGGCACTGGTTGCACAATCTCTGGGTCGTTATTGGCAATGTGAACTCGCTGAGCTCTTCTGCGGGATGACCTTCGGGGGATATCAGGAGCCACGTTCATGGTCTTTGACGCCTGAAGACGTGACCGGGTAACAGGACCGCCTGGTTCTGCCGAACGAGCGAGAGATCGGCCACGCGGCTCAGCATCCATGTCGAAGTTCTCGGCGGGAGTTGCGGGAACAGTGCCAAGTGGCTCGATATTGCAAAGGAGAACGGATGGATGACTGGCAAGGCCGTTCGGATGATTGTAGATGGTACTCTCAAGGAGAGCGCTGGCCAGTCGGTCGACCGTTGCGTCGGTGCCTGGGGTTTGCACAGCGTGGCGGTCTGTCGGGGTGGCATCCGCGACGGGCATAGGCACCGATGGGGTAGAGACCTCTGGCGAAAATTGTCAGGCGGTGTATACCACGCAAATATATGGTTTTCATACCTTGGGGCTCGTTATCCCGGTCTCTGTTGGTATTGTTGCCTCTATCCCGACGCCGAGGCGCCAGAGAGGCGAGGGTGCTCATCGACTTTTTCTTCATTGTACATGAAGACGACGAGCGTCAAGTCTGTAGGAAGGAGTGGACAGGGCGATAATCGCCCAGAGAAAAGGTGAAGGACAGAGAAAATCAGAAGGGAATAGCGATGCTCGAGGTCATCGAGAAGGGGTGAGCGAACGGCTAGGTCGGCGTTATGAGTCCTAGGTGACCGAGACCATAGGATTGCGCAACTTTCTTGGAAAGATCTTTCTCATCAGCAACGAGTAATCACAAACAACAATTTCTCCGAGACGAACCTGTTGGATAATTCAAATCGAGCACAAGGATCTCGGAGAGCCAGCTGCCGCCAAGCTGGTAACAAGCTGACGGTGTTGTTGTCTGCGAGCCAGCAGAAGAGAAGGATTGTTGCGCAGGAATCAACGCGTGCGTCGTGGGGGAGGAGGCGAGGGGGGAAAAAGGAAGCGAGGCCGCCCCGCTTGGTCTGGGGCACCTGACCTTCGTCCGAATGAATTCTTCGAGGGCAGGCTCGGTCTTGCCTCTGATAAACACCAAGCTGCCGTCCGTGGCTTCCTGTTTCTAGCCTCGAAGCCCTCTGTTTCGACCAATGTTTGGGCAGCTTCCGAGGCAAGAACACATAGCGGAGACCTGCACCAGCCTATTGCATCCACTCAAGGCACCGGGGTTCCGCTTCATGATCCTTCAGCAACTGCGGCTTGAGGGTGTCTAAGCCGCAGTTTACAGGAGAGAACGTGGAACAGGCAGAGAGGCTTTGACCAGCGTGAAGGGGCTTACTTAGGTGGTTCTTGGAAGGTCAGAGGCTGCCATTGTAGTCACTTGGCGGTGCCTGCTGGAAGCATCTTTCAGGTTTTCCAGCCCATGAACACCACAAAGGGCTCAGAAGAGATTAAATATTCGCATCAGCAATAACATCAGAGCTGAGCAGGATTCTGGGGAAGAGCATGGAATGATTTGCGGGGACTTGCGAGATATCGTGGCTGATATGGAGATTTGATCCAAGACAGGACGCCGTGGCTGATGGCCAACTGGGAAAACCAAGAAAATAGGATTATTGAGAATCATTCTTCGAACCCCTCGGGCCGGCGGTAGGCTCGCTTACAAGCACCGAAGTTGGACGTCTCATAAGTGGTGTGATTGCATCGAGATCACATCTTGATATTGGGCAGAGCAGATGAAAGGTGTAGATTGAAACTGGCACGGGAGATGTTGGCGATACTTGGCCACGCAAATATAGGTATTTGAATTACACGTTTGATGAGAGAAAAGCCCCGAACGGCGAAGTGTTCAGATGTTGTGTGCGTCTTGGAATGCGTCAGCTGGTGCAGCAGGAATTATGTAGTAAATTCCGAAAATGACAACCGTTCTCATTGTCGGAGTCGGCTGCTATGTATCGCCAAATTTGGAAAAAGAAAAGTGCTGGACTCGGCTCCACTCCGGCATCACCCGTGCTCACAGCTGCCGGCGACGGGCCTTGTGCTGGCCGTTTCGACCGGTGAACGTTGTTTGTGGCCGGAAGAGAAACGGAGGACTAACGGGTCCACGGCCACCCGCGGAGATCCTCGGCCCATCTCGGGGTTGGGATCTTGATCCTGCCAGCGGGTGATTGGTGCCACTCGCTGCATGAGGTAATGGGCAGGGAATAAAAATCTCTAACGAACGCTGCGTCGGAAGGGGCCCAGCACGACACAAGAAGCGTATTGAGCATCTCAACCGTCGAAAATGACAATTACAGACGGCCAATTGCCTGCCGAGGCTCATGGCGATTCTGGAAATGTTAGTCAGCCACAGCCTAGGCAATGCAATGCCGCTCACCGACGGGCGGGCGACGGTCTCGGTTCCGTTCTCACCGTTGGGAGCACGGGCATTTCGAAGAATGCGAAAACGCACCGCACGAGGGGACCCTTCGGAGCGGAGAAGCCGCCACCGGAGAGGGCCAATTAGCATTCCTCGGTTCGTGATTGGCCTGTCACTTGCGCCATCGCACACTCCCATTCGCTGAACGCCCAGCGACACTTGGCGGGCGGGCCCACGGTCACCTCCGTCTCCTGCCGAGTGCAGCCAAAGCGGAAGGATAGCTGGTCTGTTTCAAATTCCGTCAGCCTTTGGTTCGCCATCCACCATTTCCCTCGTGCTTCAGCCGTCCGTTATTTTTTTCCCTTCATCTCCAGCCCCAAACCTTCCTCCCGCGCCTCTCTCACCGACTTCGCCTCAACGCCCATTCCTCCCCTCGAATCCGACACTCGCGACCATTTTCCGTCGCGACGATATAATAATCATCTCCAAGCCTGTGGTGCGAAACTCCCAAAAGCGCCACCTCCGACTCCTTGAAATCCCCCAACCGCTTCTCCGACAGCCATTGCCACCCAACCCCTCATTCTCCTACGAAGTTCGCCATTGAGCCTGTGCAACATCAGAGATCACCATGTCGTTCTCTAGCCTCGTTCAAGACCTCACATTGAGGGATTCCGGCGTCCCGCGCCGGAACCGCGGCGAGGCCTCGGTCTCCACCGTCGATGACAGCCGGTCGCAAATCTCGCGCGCCATGTCATACGCCAGCACCGCTGCCACCAGCGTCAGCATCTCCGGAGACATCTCCAGCCAGCTTCACGGCGGCTACTTCCATCCCCTTGCCCGCTCGTGGCAGGCCGAGAGGCAGTTGACCAAGGTCCGTTCCATCCAATGAGGGGTATCGCGCCTTTGTTGTTATGAATCACCGCTGACATGCCGCCCAGTCGATGCTGATTTACCCCCTCTTCATTTCCGACCAAGACGACGAGGAAGTCCTCATTCCCTCGCTTCCCGGCCAGTACCGCCGAGGAATCAACAAAACAATGGCCTGGCTGGAGGTCCTCGTGCGCAAGGGCCTGCGCTCCGTCATGCTGTTCGGTGTGCCCGTGCGCCCCGGAAGCAAGGACGCTCTTGGCACCTCCGCCGACGACCCGGAGGGCCCCGTCATCAGGAGCATCCGCGCCATCCGCCAACGCTTCCCTCAGCTCTTCATCTGTGCCGACGTCTGCCTGTGCGAGTACACCTCCCACGGCCACTGCGGCATCCTCCGCGACGACGGCAGCTTGAACAACCAGCTGTCCGTCGACCGCATTTCCGATGTTGCCATTGCCTACGTTGTGGCCGGCGCACACTGCGTCGCCCCCTCGGACATGAACGACGGCCGCATCCGCGCCATCAAGCTCAAGCTCATCGAGGAAGGCATCGCCCACAAGACCGTGCTTATGTCGTACTCGGCCAAGTTCTCCGGCTGCTTGTACGGCCCCTTCCGTGACGCCGCGGGCTCCGCGCCTTCCTTCGGCGACCGCAAGTGCTACCAACTCCCCCCGGGTGGCCGTGGCCTCGCGCGCCGCGCAATCGTCCGTGACATCAACGAGGGTGCCGACATCATCATGGTCAAGCCGGCTAGTCAGTACCTCGACATCATCAGCGACGCGAAGGAGCTGGGCAAGGATATGCCTGTAGCCGCGTACCAGGTGAGCGGCGAGTTCGCCATGATCCACGCGGCCGCCAAGTCGGGCGTCTTCGACCTCAAGACGATGGCTTTCGAGTCGACAGAGGGCATCCTCAGAGCCGGTGCGACGATAGTCATCAGCTACTTCACCCCCGAGTTCCTTGACTGGCTCTCCACCTAAATGATGACGGCATTACACGCTCGGAAAGTTTGATAGAGGCATGGTGTTTTATGGCGTTTTCAGTTCATCATCTTCGTGGGAAGGAGCAGATATTGTATTATCGGATTACGGTCAAGGTATTATGGGAGGGGATTCTGGCAGGGCGTCATCTTATTTTCGCATACACTCCCTCCATTGGTTCAGTGTCACGTAGAGGATACCAAAAACTAAAAGGCTACGTTAATGAAAAGGACAACACGTATTATTGACACATGAATCGATTGTTGGCCACAAACCTGACATGTTTGTATCAGGCTGGTGGGCATCCGTCTCTGTATGCTAAACTCAAAATCAACGGTGCATTAGTAAGGAACGACTTGGACAAGAAACAGCGTTTGGGCAAATTTAGATACGACGTGTGCCGTGTGTTCTAGCTGACTGACTGGCAGCTCGCAAGGTGTGTGTGCATGCGTGTTTGATGGCAGCAGTAGCATGGTGGCATCAAGAATGGGAGGCCCTGCCTTGTCTTTCCGGCTTGGGTTTCTTCAAACCCGCTCTCCCACAGGTTCGCAGGTATCGGCGTGTGGTAGCAAGCCGACAGACGGCAAGAGCAAGCCTGTGCCTGTTCCAGGGCGCACCCATGGCGGGTTTGTTGTGTGGCCTGACTCGGCTTTCGGATGTCGATCGTCAGGTTCTTCTTGATTTAAACTGGACCCAAGGAGCACGCTGGTCTCCAAAAACAAAATTCGGTTGGGCATGGGGTGTTTGGCAGAGAGAGGCATTGCAAGCCAGGGGAAACGGTCCAAGGTAAGGGGGTCCAACAAAGGGGAAGCGGTCGTTGGTGGGCGAGAGAGAGCGAAAAGCCTGGGTCTGGGAGATAGGTAGTGGTCGAGGCGAGGTCTTCGCTGTAACCACTAACAAGGCGGCGGACGGCGGTGCCATGCACTCGACGTGACGGATTGCCAATCTGGAACATGGCCAAGGGGTCGATTGCCGGGAAACAAGCTGCACCCCTGACGGGGGGGGGGGGCATGGGGCGGAGGCTCCACCGTGACCAGCGAAACCACTGACTTCCCAATGACTGGCGTCGAACACTGTCCAGTATCCGTACCTTGGTCCAGTGTCCGTACCTAGCAAGAACACAGTCATTCAGCTGGCCTTGGTGCATTGCAGAAGGCGAGAGCAGAGTTCAAAGTGCCGCTGCACCTTGCCGCACCGCCACAGACGGACCGGCAGGCAGGAGGCAAGCAGGCACTGGCACAGGCAACGTGGTTCATCATTTTCATGGTCTTCTGACGGAGTGGAAGTTGGAGGACGCACTAGTGTGGCTGGAAAGGCACAGTAAGCACAGTGAGCACTCGCGGCTCTTCCTGCTGTGCGGCGCCGCGGACAGCTCGCAGACCGTCACAGTGCAGGTCTCGAGCCCCCACCCCGGTCCCCCGAGCGCGGCAGGCGTGGATCCAAGCGCCGATCTCAACCTTGAAGCGTGCCGCATCTGAAGAGCCCCCAAAGTGCTCTCAGAACACATCGACCAATTCCTTCGATTGCTGGACCCCGGAACTCCATCTTTTCTCCCAACCGCCGACCCTCCCACCCCCAGGCGGCAGAGCAGAGTCTCCAGATCGCTTACGACTGCTCGAGGCAAAAGTGGCCCGAATACTCATGCGCCGAGAGCTCTCGTCGGTCGCGGCTTGCCGTGTTTGCGCTCTCTGGCGCTGAGAGCCGGCCATGGCATTTCTCGGCGGAAGAGCGTTGGCCCAGAGGCATGCTCCAACGGTGGTCCCCTTCCAAGGTCTTCGGTGGCCTCCCAAGACTCCCAAGCCCTCTTATCGATCCATCTTTCCCTCATTCGGCCAGCCGTGACCCTCTTCCGACACCCCTGCCCCCTCATTGCCGTCGCGTACCTGCAGCAAACAACGGGCGGAATGGCGATGGACAGCGGGCGGGAGATGTTGTGATGGGCGCGGCGCCCGCGGCGGACACAGGAGACTGGGGCTCCTCTCCTCCTCTGGGCTCCTCCTCCATCCATCCTCCAAGGAAACGGGGGCTCTTCTTTCCAACGGGGATGGATGACGGGGTCGTGGAGGAGATAGATGCACAGGACCCAGGCCCTTTGACGCTTGTGACTGGAAGAGGCAAAGCGAATCGAATATTGATTGACCGACTCCGCGTACCATTTTACGCACCTTGCTGTGGCTGCGTATCTCTGACGACCAGTCGTCCCATCATCCTCTTTGATTCGGTCGTTTCTTCAATTTACTTTACTGGTCTTCTTTATGAGCGTTTTGTGTATGGGATATGCAGACCGGCGGAGTATATGCCATTCTTAGTGGTATTCCATGTCTCGCCCATCTTCCAAGGCAAAGGGTCCCTTTCACCGTCTTGTCTCTAGTGGCCTTCCTTCTTCGAGGCAATCCTCCTTTTTTTTTTTTTTTCATGTCCATCGCCTGTTCTATCATTTCCATATAAAGTGTGAAACCCCTACCAGTCAAATCTCCTGAGAAGATCCCCTGCGTTTGCCTGGGTTTGATGATTTCGGAGCTTGCAAGTCAAACTGACGTATCGTGGAGGCATTGTTTGTTTTTTTCTCCATCCTTCTCACCTCTGCCTCCTCTCGCTCCCATCTCTCCAACAAGTCAGAAATCCGGTCGTTTCTGTCTCGAACCGGCCGACTTCCATCGTTTCATCCCTTCTTTTGCATCTGCCCCATTGGGCCCCATCTCGGTCGTGCGGTTACCTCGTTCCCAGTTGCATGCTACGCTACGGATATTTGCTACCGTGGAAGCGAGCAAGGCGGGAAAGAGGAGAAGGAACCGAGAGTGGGCAGAGAGGGAACGACCCTGTGACCTGAACTTCGGCGATCCGATAGAACCAGCAGTGCGCACAGGCTGTTGGTCCTGTGTTCGTTTTTTCTGGCGTCAGCCGTGGTCTCTCGTTGAGCTCTTGACATCTGCGCCTCGGCTTGCAGTTCACAGTTCGGATTGGTGGTGTGTGTGTTGTGACCGTGGCCCTTGCCTGTCGTTCAGCTTGCCGCCCGTCCTTCAACGATTTACACTTTTCCACAGCCCGCCCCCCGTCATTCTTCGACTGTCGTCCTCTTGGTGGTCTTAAAAAAAATCCCCGAAAAAGACAAGAGGCTGGGCGGGATCAGGACCAGGAATCAGGAACGAACGAACAGACTGCCTAGAGTGGGTGGACGGACCCAACACTCGTCCCCTGTTCCTGGGCTAGAACACGAGCAGACAAGAGGCAACGAGAGGCAGGCACATCTGACTTTGTCCTCACATTCGGATACGCACCCTTCACTATTTTTTCGTCGTCGAGGTCGAGGCAGGCACATTTCCAGAGTGCAGTGCATTGCGCAGGCGCTGCTTCCCAACTCGTTGACGGCATCGCTGCACCTCGTCCATGGTGCATCCCTCCCCAAACCCGTCATAGCTGCCACACTTAAACCTTTCCACACCCTGAAACAGTCTCTCCCTCTACCCACACCCGCTCTTTACGCCGCATAGCCATACGTCTATACCATTCATACCTTACTCTTACTATCGACCGTACCACTTCACCTACCTCAGCTGTCTGTCTCTAAACACTCATTACCTATTACGCATCCACACTTCACGCTCCTTCTGTGTGGTCTCTTCACTGCACGTCTGACCTTTTCTTACCTTCCCTTACCTCACGGACACTGGCCGCTTTCTCATCTATATCCGGGTCGAAGTTAGACTGATTTCCATTTCCATTCCCATCCCCACGCCCGCGCACCCGCCTTACACACACGTACGTCTACACGCAAAGCCTCGTTCCGATCTCAGCCCAGCCGGACCCTTTTCTTTTTGGTTTTGGCTTGTTTGCCTGCCTACCGCCCGCCCGCGCCTCTGGGACATCTGCCAGAAAGTCCCCACAGCTTCTTCTCGTCAGGACCCACGGCCGTGTGTGCAGAAAGGGCCCCAAGGTCCAAGGTCTCTCTTGCTTAACCTGCAAGGTCAAGGCAAGGTCCAGGTCACGGGCTCCGGTAGACGAGACGAGACCCAAGACGGGCAGAACACTCCCAGTCACCAAAGGCGGAGCGCTCCCTCGGGAAACATCCACCCATCCTCTGCTCTTCCACTTTCACAGGCCCGGGGTCTGTTCCCCATTACAATTACCTTGTCTCGCCTGCCTTTCACTCCCCGTCTCCTTCCTTTTCGCCCCTCCCAATCTGCAGATCCAGCAGATCGTCTGAATAACAAGGGCCCCCTCTGGAGTCTGGATCAAAACCACCACGCATCTCCCGTCCCCTCCCTCTTCCTTTCCACTTTGACTCTAGGCCCTCGTCTTGTCCAAGCCGTGCTTGATACCTGTTACCTTGGCCTCACCAGAGTCTATTACACCCCCGACATCAAACCGACACATTGCAGGACAATGAACGGACACGCTGCCTCCAAGGTGTCGCTATCACACGAAGAGGGTATGGGTCTGTTGGACGAGAAGACGTTGTCCGACGTCGAGAGCGAGAGCGGTAGGGCCGACCTCGAAGTCCGCTTCGCGATACCGCGATGGTCGACACTAGCAAGAGGCGTCGTTGGCTACGTGCGGGCCGTGCCATGGAGGGTCACGCTTATTCGAAGCCTCATCTTCCTACTGCCCAGTTTCGTTCAGAGCCGGTTTACAAGAGAACGGAGTCGTCCCGAGAAGCTGTTCCCGACGTCATACCTCGACGGCATGCGAGGACTCGCCGCGCTATTCGTCTTCTTCTGCCACTACTTTTACCAAGCCTTCATCATCGCCGAGGGCTGGGGTTCATCAGAAAAGAACTACCACATTCTCAAGCTGCCATTCCTCCGACTCTTCTACCAGGGCCCGCCAGCCGTCTGCCTGTTCTTCGTCATCTCCGGATATGCACTTTCACTGAAACCGATCAAGCTCATCCGGAGCCAAAAATGGGATGAGTTCTCCGCGACAACGACATCCCTCATCTTCCGCCGATTCATCAGACTCTACATGCCCACGGCGATTTCCACCTTTGGTATCATGCTCATGCTGCAGATGGGCGTCTACGAATGGACGAGAGACTTTGCCATCGATCGCAAGTGGCACAAGAACGTCATGGAACCTCACCCCAAGCCATTGGATACGTTCTCCGAGCAAATTTGGGATTGGGTGTGGAGCATGTTCAACTTTGTTCACGTCTTCGGCTGGGAGCGGTTTGGTGGAAGCACATGTAAGTTGGACGCTGGGATGCACGTTGACACGACACTGACGCACTGTAGCCTACGACGTCCATCTCTGGACTATTCCGGTTGAGTTCCGCTGCTCGATGTACCTGTTCGTCACTCTCATCGGTCTGGCCCGTGTTCGCACAGGACTTCGCTTCCTTTTCCTCTGGGGAATCATCGCCTTCACCTACCGCAACAACCGCTGGGAACTACTCCTTTTCTACTTTGGTATGATGCTAGCTGAATACGACCTCATCCTCGGAAACCACAACAACAACCAGCCGCCCGCTGCTCTGCCGTTGAACGAGGCGCCGCCGCAAAAGAGCAGGTTCAAGGGTTTCCTTTGGGCGATGTTGAGCATTCTCGCTCTGTACCTCATGTGCCAGCCTGATATCAACTACGATGTCACTCCTGGCTGGGTCTGGCTTTGCTCCTTCATTCCCAAGTGGTGGGAAGAGGAAGGTTACCGCTTCTGGCAGTCCATTGGATCTGTTCTCTTCGTTCTCGCCGTCAGCCATTCGCCGAGATGGAAGTCCTTCTTCAACACCGCGCCCGTCCAGTACTTCGGAAAGATCAGCTACGCTCTCTACCTCATGCACGGCCCAGTGATGCACACTGTCGGCTACACCATTGAGAGATTCGTTTACAGCCGCACGGGTATTGAGGGATACTGGTACAACACCGGCTTTGTCATTGGGTCTTTCGGATGCATCCCCGCAGTTATTTGGGCCGCGGACGTTTTCTGGCGGCTCTTTGATATCCCGACGGTGCGGTTCGCAAAGTGGTTTGAAACAAAGTGCGCCATCAAGCAACAGTAAAGAGAAGGAACAAAGACGGCGCTTGCGCGTCTGCACATATGTCTGCGACAAACGCTCAATAATGAGCTGGGTCTGGAAAGTCGGTATGGGAATCGACTAATAATAGCATGACAACGGCGTTTTACATCATACGGCATTATTACTATACCTGGCGTCGGGAATTTTTATTTTTATGGGGGCAGGGGTTTAGCCAACCTTTTTTGGCATGTTATAGATAGGCATCTCAGCAGGAATGCACCTTTCAGAGCCACATGACGGACTTGAGAAATGTACAGAAGAGTACCAGAGAATGTGGACAACGTATTCAGATATGGTAGATGCAGCCGAAAAAGAATACTCTTCCGACCGAGGGGTATCAAATTCATTCCTTTTTTCTTTTCTTGAACCTTGATCTAAATCTCCAACAAGATGTCTCAACCAATCATGCTCCTCTTCCGGCCCCTCATCCTGACGTCTTCGAGCTTCTTGAGAGTCGTGGAGCCCTGCTTGTATGATGCGCGATAGGCGTCCAGCAGATCCTGGAAGTATTCCTCGGCGCGGGGATGCGTGCTGCCGAAAGCGCGCTCGAGGACATAGAGATCGACCGCGCGGTCCTCGTCGGAGGTGCTCTGGCTCGCCAATCCAAAGTCGATGATGAAGATCTCCCCGTCCAATTTCGAGGCCTCCTCCCCGTTTGTGGTAGTGGCAGCAGGCTTTGGCGGGCGGAGCATCATGTTGGATGTGGTGAGGTCCCCGTGTACGATCCCGATCTTGTGCATCTTGCCGACGGCGGCGCCCATCCTCCTCATCAGGTTCTTGATGTCTGCGGCGTCTCGTCGCGGGGCTGCGGCGGCGGCCTTTTCTTCTGGTGTTGCTGTTGCTTTTTGTGTGTCCGCCATGACCTTATCATCTGTCTCTTCCTCGGGAACTCCAGCCAGGCGCTGGCTGGGAACGACGGAGTCGAGCCACTCGTTGATGCGCACGCGGACGGGGGCGCCCGGGATCCACTCGAGCATGATCCAGCCGGCGGCCTCGTCGAGGGCGTAGAGGGCGGGGACGGGGCAGCCCTCGCGGCGGCATTTCGCGAGGACGCGGGCCTCGGCGAGGATGCGGGCGCGGGTGAGGCGGGCGTCGAGGGTCGGATGACGGTAGGGCTTCGGAGGCCGGTATTTGAGGGCGGACGGGGTGGAGGGGGCGAGGAAGGTGGTTTTGTAGAGGCGGGCTTCGGCGCCTTGGGTGATGAGCTCTGGCGCGGAGGAGGAGGGGTGGGTTAGGAGCGGGGGGAGGGGGAATTGTGTCGGTTGTGGTGTGGCCATTGTGCCTGTGTGTGCGTGTGGTTTGGTGAGGGTGGGTGGCGGAGGAGGAGGAAGAGGGGTGTGGATGTCGGTGGCTAGCAGCTGGATTGGCGTGGTTTGGGAATATCTTCAATTTTGCGGCACACCTGTACGGGCGGGCTCGGCGAGGAAAGTTTGGAGGGGTAAAGGTGCGGGTGCCTTGGCGGGGGTGTGGTTTGGTGGGCAGACCGCCTGCCGCGAGAGGGGATTCTGCCAGCTGCCGTCGCTCAAGGGCCGTTTCTGGGGACGGGACGGACGGGTTTCGTAGCGCGCGGCGGGCCGGGCCCTGTGCGTGAAGCTTCACTTCCGTTCCGGGTGTTTCTTCTTGGCGGGCAAAATTTCCGCTGTAATCTATTCACGACTTTCCCCCAGTGTTCTGGAACATGCACATTGGAAGTGTTTGCTCATCTGCAGGTAACGCAGCGGCAGCTGCTGTTGAGCGCTTCTGAGAAGCAAGCGTGAGGTTTGGGAGAGCGACCGCAGTTGACATCCAACAGCCAAGATGCAAGATGAACCAATGCCCAGCGTCAACGGGACTGAAGTTTGATCTACTTCTTCAAGTACATGAAGGTGGGATGCGCCTAGCCTTTGAGTGAAGGCCGTAAGAAGGGCACCAGTGTGTCATCAACAAATCTCAATTCCGAGTCGCAAAGATGACCCAATCCGTGCTTTCACGCGATCATCAATCTCAGATAACGAAGCAAGCTGCAAGTCTTTTCTCATCTTTCAACACCAAGCGGCCCATTCGGCTCCTCCGCCGCTACCTATTGCCGCACATCGCGCGCGGGAGCAGACGAGCAATGTCCTGCATCGGTTCACACTGGGGCCAGGCTTCCCGATATGCAGCCCAGTGGCCCAGCAGCCACACCACCACGACCATCCGCAGGCAGGCGAGCCAACGATACAAGCAGGCCACCAATCACCTCCGTCTACCAAAGTCTTCGGTGGCGGCCGAGAGGTGCTGAGAGGGGCAAATGCTTCCCTTTCGCATATCCGCTCTGGTGATATGCAGGCCAGGGTCGGTTCTCTTACGCCTTCGGGCAGCTGCTGTTGGAAGACTATCCCGTGCTGCCCGCTTCCTCGTCCCGAAAAATTGCGCAGTTCTAGCTGGACCCTTGGAAGACTTCAATTCGAAGTGGGAGAATGTGCAACGTTTGGAAGGCGATTAGAACGGGCAGGCTGTGCTTACGGAGGGGAGGGCAAAATATCGACTATGCTCCATTGAGTCGCATGCATCCTCGCATCTGACAGACCCGACCCTGTCGAGGTTTGCTTACATTGCCCTCCAATCCCTCATCTCTGGGTCTTCTGTATTTGCCCACCTCTGGTTTCCCGGTCTCACCCTCTTCACAATCTGGTGTAGCCTTCCGCCGGTCGCACCAAGGACAATGGGCTCCTAAGCCTCGTCGCGGAACACACGACGTCTCTTTTTTGCTACACCACACCCTAGCTGGCCGAGCTGTCGTCTCTGTGCCCTTTCTTTCGCAGACTCAAGACTCTCTGTGGTGATCGAAAAGAAAAGCGCCCATACCCCAGAAGACGAAATGGCGGCATTTCTGGTGGTCGCTGCGCTGGCCGTCTGCGCCGGCGCGGCCGCCGGACAGAGACGGTACGCCGCCGTCGACATGTCACCAGCAGGCGGTGGCGGCGCCCTCGTCCCGCGTTTCTTCATCGACGAGCCCCGTCTCGTGGCCCGCGACGGGGCTCCTTGTCCCGCGAATGCGCATTCATGTAAGACTCCCGCAAAACATCCTGAGACGAAGACCACGAACTGGAGAGGCCGGTTCTGACAGATTGAGATGTGATATAGGCCTCGACATAGGCTTCCCGAACCAATGCTGCTCCAACGAGAACTACTGCTATGTTAAGCCGAACGGGGACCCGTGGTGCTGCCAGATCGGCTCCAACTGCGACTCAAAATGCTCCGCCTCGCAGTACCAATGCACCACCGTCGTCCCCGTCACGATAACACCTACCACCACCGGCGACCCGACGGTCACGTCCTCCACCGTGCCCGCCTGCTGCTACCGAGGCTGCCCCTCAACCTCCAACTTCCGCTGCGCAGACCAATTCGGCGGCGGCTGCTGTCCGTACGGCAACACCTGCGCCTCCTCCAAGCAGTGCATCCAGACCATCTCCGCCACGCCGTCCTCCACCGCCGGCGGCCTCACCCCCGCGGACCCGGGCTGCACCGCGACCACCCAGCACGCCTGCGCCGACGGCCAGGGCTGCTGCGACGACCTCATGCACTGCACCAGCGTCTCCGGCACCGCGGCCTGCGCGCCGGGGAACCCCACCGCCACGGACGTGACGTACGACCCGGACAGCAACGGCGGCGGCGGCGGGCTGTCAGCGGGCGCGAAGGCGGGCATCGGCGTGGGCGTGTCTGTGGTCGGTCTCGCGCTCGTCGGCGTCTTCGCGTGGTTCTGCCTCGTCCGCCGCCGTCGTCGCCGCGGAGCGACCACCATGACGGCCTCATCCCAGCGCAGTGGCGGCGGCGGCGGAGGGCTGAGCAACGTCATCGGCGGGGGAGCAGCGTCCTCGCGGCCGGGACGCAGCGCGCGCGCCATGTCGGAAGTGACATCCGGCTCGCGGCCGACGGCGCGCCGCGGCGCGACGCAGGATTACTTCGGCCCGGACGCCGTGGCGGGGCCGTACACGGAGACGGAGACGGTGGCGTCCGCCGAGGGGGCGGCGACGGTCGCGTCGTCGCCGGGCCGGCACCGCGGCGTGCCGCTGCAGGCGCACTCGCCGAGCGACGTCGTGGCGCCGGTGGAGATTGACTCGCGCGTGAAGAGGGGGGCGCCGGCCGCGGTCACGTCTGTGTCGCAGCAGGCGCTGGCTCCGTCCTCGCCGCCGACGACGGAGGGGCGGTTCGAGTTGTACGGGAGCGAGATGCCGAGCCCGACGTCGCCGGGGATGCCGTCGCCGCCGCTGATGACGCCGAGCGCGAGGAGCGTTAGTATGATGGAGAGGTCGCCGATCGACAGGTCGCCTGGACCGGCGCCGAGCCCGGAACCACGGCGGCGGTGAGAAGGGTTGAGGAGTTGACTGACGCTGTGTGTTTTCTCTCTGTTCTCGTGTTCATATCTGTCTTTTTGAGACGCCTGCATTGAAGTAATAAACGAGCGATGGTACATTTTTTGTTACACAGATTCCCGATGCCTTCGGAAATTCTCTCTCTTGTAAGAATACTTATTATGCGATGACGAGTGGTAGGAAACCTTTTTGGTGTGAAGAGCAACCCCGCTTGACCGACCGTTTCCTTGGAGAAAATAACAAAAAACGATAGACATTGATCCTTCGTGTCACATTCCTGCCCTCCGCGAACGCCAAACAGTATGAAGGATGCAAATGAAGACTGGAAGAAGCGATGATGAACGCATGCGAGTCTGAGAAAAATTGAAGAAAGAAGGAGAAACCCCAAGACGACCAGAAACACCAAACACGAGACACCGATCCCCTTCAGAAGTTGTATGCACACCCACATGGCTCAGCAAACGACGCCGCCAAAGGGCGCGCACGTCCGTAGGTCCTTGACCAGGTCCTCGACGCTGCTGAGATGGCGGCCCAGCAGCTCCTGCTTCTCCTCTGTGGTCAGGGTGTCGGCGGACTCGCTGCCGGCGCGACTCCTTGCGTAGTGCTGAGCATCCGAGGCGGTGGAGTTGCCGCCCGCGAAGGCCCCGGCGAGCTTGCTGGGGCTGCGCTGGTGGATCGCGGGGACGGAGGCGCGGGCGTCGGCGCGCGGGATGGAGGGGACCTCGGGCATGAGGTAGAAGTAGAGGAACTCGACGAGCTTGAGCTTGACCTCGCGGGCGGTGGAGCGGGACTTGAAGAGGGAGGTGACGGTGAGGAGGCCGTCGAGGGCCTCGAAGGTGCGCGTGTTCAGGGGGGTGTCGATGAGAGCCACAACGAGGACAAGAAGGGTCGCGGATTGGATCGCCGGGCAGTTGACGGGTTCGAGGAGGTCGAGGAGGAGCTGTGCGGGGGGGTTAGCTTGTGGAATTTGGAAGGGGCGTTGGAATCAGACATACGTTCATATTTTGTTCTCTCGAGAAGAGTGCCTTGCTTGGTGGGTGGAGGAGCAGCACGCCTTGGATCAGATCCAGCGAGCTGAGGATGAGGAGGTCATTCTGGCCATCGGCGCCCTTGCCCATGAGGCGGTCAAGGGTGTTGATGAGGCGGAGGGCAACGTTCCACTCGAAACCCTCCTGCAGCTTGAAGAACTCGCGGAAGGCTAGGTCGTCAGATAGGTCGGACAGAGACTTGCCGCTCGATCGGGCGGACTCATCGTCAGTCGCCGGCGACTTTGATGACCTTGACGGCGCTGAGAGGCAGATCTGGGCGAGGAGGCCTTCTACCTGGCGCAGGCCCTTGCGGACCTTGGGGCCATCGTAGGAGGAGAGGGAGTCGAAGGCGAGGCTGAGGAGGTTCTCCATGTTTGAATATCGGTGGTCGTGACGATGTTTGTGAGGAGGCCGCCGTGGATTGGTGGCTGATGTGCTGCAGTGGGCGGGGTTAGTCTCGAGCGCGCGGAACGGACTGAACAAAAGAGACGATGCGATTATCTGTCGATGCGATTATCGATAACAATTGAAGGACGCCGGACTAGGATCGGAGTCTGACGGCAGCAGCAGCACACGCTGGAAAGTTGATAATGCAGAAAAACAACGAGAACAAAAACCGACGAGAACACAAGTCCTCTGGGGGTTGTGGGGGTATCACGATCGGATGACTGGAAAGTGCCGGAAGGGGAAAAAGAAGAAGGAAGAAGCGCACAAGGTGATGGATCGCGCGGCGCAAGTAATAAGCATATGAGAGACAGCAGCGGCAGCGACAAGGACGTCGGTAGCTGATTGCCGTGTGGACAGGTGTGGATGTTTGTGTTGCGACCCGACGATTAATGCCCCGGCAACCGGGTCGATCTCCAAGGCGTTGGGATGGGGATTTAGCGTGGCCCTGCAGAGGAAAGCGAGCTTCTGTTTGGCCCAAACAGCGTGACCAGTCACCACACACACCGTTAGCTACGAATAAGCGGGTCGATCACCGTAGGCACCTCTGCGTTGGCGCATTGCGGGGGGCCTGGCCCGGCATTCAAGCTTGGGATTTCAGGGTCAAGGTCTTTTGTTGTTTGTCGCTGCTACCTTGCCGTTTGACTTTGTTCTGGGCAGGCGATTAGGTATTGAGATAAGAATAAGCGAGTTCCTTTTTGGAGGATTCGAGCTTTCTACCTTGTCGTGTAACAGCTGCCCTCTGCCCTCGGCATGTCTGCTGCGATCTTCGGAGACTACCCAAGCCGGGCCACATGTCCACGGTCCTATCAACCGGCCTTGGTTCTGCAGGAGGCGTCGGTCTGTCGCAGCGGCAGCGGATGCTTAAGAGCGGCACATATGGCAGATGAAACCTGACGGCGCGAGGGGATGGCACATTTCAGCGTCTTGGAATCCACGCTGGCAGCGACGAGCCACGGCGGCATCGCGACCCGGTTGGCAGGATGCGAGGTGAAGGCATGAACAACGGCAGGGCAGGGCACACCAGGAGGGGTTCATCGGAGTGTTTTACGTGCCATCCGAGAGTGCTTAGCGGAAGTTGAGGCTAGCGACTCTGTCTTCTAGAAGCCCAATCCCGTCTACTGCAGACGTCTGGCGTCTGTCTGTCTCCCTCCTCCCACCGCAGCCGTCGCTTCTTAAGACGAAGCCTTCGCACGAACCTCTTGCTGTCTTTACTAGCCGTAGTTCTTCTCTCTGCCCTCTTTCTATTACACCTCTGCGCGGACAGCTCAGCTCACCGAACCAGCCACCAGAGAAACCCGAGTTTATCCATCTCCGGAATTTCATCAATTTACTCTTCAAAACTCGCACTTCGGAGCAAAGTCCGCCATTCCCTCTGGATTTCGGTCTCTACCAAACCCCGACCCCAGCAATATCCAAGCTGCCGCCTGCGAATTGATGACGTCTGCCAGATTTCGCCCCAACCCAAAGTCCAACATCTCCCCACAATCAATCGATAAGAGCTCCAACAACGCGGCAGGTCCCATCAACACCTGCAACTGCGGCTGCATGTTCAAGGTCGGTAAGCTGCAGTCTGTTGGCATGTGATTGCTCCTTTGCTCTCTTGCCTGTTTTCATTGCGTCTGCCTGCCTACAGATACAGGACCTGCTAGGACTGCCAGCCAGGACTGAGCTGCCTGGCCCAATTCTCCAGCGGAAAGCTTCAACAAAGCAAGGATCAGTGATCCAGCTGCCTCATCCCTTTGCTCCAACCTTGGCTCTCCCTACCTTACGACAACGCTAGAGTACTCTGCACAAAGTCATGACGGCCTACATCCCAATTACCCCTGCCAAAGGACACCATGCAGACGGACAAATACGGCGTTTCCAAGCAAAAGGAACGATACGTGCATACGCGGACAAGCAGAAATCCCCACCTCCCAACAAATCAGACCTCCTACCGGGGTACGGGAAAAAACAGCTGCCCACAAGCTTGGATGAACAGAGTGGTGACGTTGACACGAGCTGACCAACAGCGAACAGCATAACCACCGCCGGCTGACCACCACCACCACCACTACCACGACCGATCCCACCTCCTCCGCAGCCCACCGGGGAAAGGAGCTCCACCAAGCTACCCACCACGCGAGCTCTGCTGAGCTCCGGCCCGTGGTAGAAGCTACTGCTGTCTCTCCTGCGGCTGCCACGGCGGCTGTTCCAGATCCAGGCGCCGCCACCCATAAGAAGCCACGCATCTTCCGGTCCGCCTTTGCAAAGAGTCTCCCTTTCACGATGGGCGTGCCTAACGACAGCTCTCCAACAAGCGACCCAGGCACCAAACCCTCAGATCCTTCAAATAACCCCTCCTTCCCCTCCTCTCCGCCAAACGCCATACCCCCACGCAGATCTTCAACGAGCCACTCGTCTTCTTCCTCAACAACTGCCGCCGCCGCCGCAACGGTTCCCTCCTCTCTATCTGCCCAAGCCACGGCGTCCGTGCCGACGACATCGTCCAAAGCACCCCTCCGCACCGTCCCCGAAACCGACTGGCTCAACCGCGCCGCCTCCGTCAGCTCCCGCACCCACAAGCACTCCCATTCTTCCTCCTCCCACCGCCGCCGTCCCTCCGGCGCACTCACGACAACCTCCTTCACCGTTACGATGCAGCCTCCTCCGCCCCCCGACCCCTCGCGCTACGCGACCGCCGACCTCAACTTCACTCGCAAGGCCTGGCCCGAGGAGAAGGACAAGGTCATCACCGGCCCCTTCGACTACCTCTTCGCCCACCCGGGCAAGGACTTTCGCGCCCAGCTTATCCAGGCCTTCAACATCTTCCTTGACGTCCCCCAGTCCAGCCTCGACGTCATCACAAACGTCGTCGGCATGCTCCACACGGCCTCCCTTCTCATCGACGATGTCGAGGACTCGTCCTCCCTGCGCCGCGGCCTGCCCGTCGCCCACAACATCTTTGGTGTGGCCCAGACCATCAACTCGGCCAACTACATCTACTTTTGCGCTCTGCAGGAGGTCCAGAAGCTTAAGAACTCCAAGGCAATCTCCATCTTTGCGGAAGAGCTCGTCCACCTGCACCGCGGCCAGGGCATGGATCTTTTCTGGCGCGACACCCTCACCTGTCCCACCGAGGAGGACTACCTCGAGATGGTCGGCAACAAGACGGGCGGCCTCTTCCGCCTCGGCATCAAGCTCATGCAGGCCGAGTCTCGCAGCCTCACGGACTGCGTCGACCTCGTCAACATCATGGGCCTCATCTTCCAGATCCGCGATGACTACATGAACCTCTCCAGCCAGGAGTACTCGGACAATAAGGGCATGTGCGAGGACCTGACGGAGGGAAAGTTCAGCTTCCCCATCATCCACAGCATCCGCTCTGACCCCTCCGACCTGAAGCTCATCAACATCCTCGGCCAGAAGACGAACGACGTCGAGGTCAAGCGCTACGCCGTGTCGCGCATGGAGAGCACCGGCAGTTTCGACTACACCAAGCAGGTCGTAGGCGTGCTCATCGACCGCGGCCGGAAGCTGGCGGACGACATTGACGAGGGACGGGGTCTGAACAAGGGCATCCACATGATTCTGGATAAGATGATCATCTGAAGACTTTTGTGCCATTGAAGAGATAAATCAGGGGCTTTTGGGGGGTTTAGGAATGGAAACGTCATACCCGGGGGGTTTAATGTCACGGAGCATTGGTCTGGGAAAGATAAGCCTGGTGTGTTTGCCTCGCAGGTTTTCCTCGCCCCCCTTGGTGTTGTTCAAGGGTGGGGGAGAAAGCACAGGATGGCATTTTCTTGGTGTTACAGAGAATCCCGGCTGGCACGCCGGACGGCTGCATTTAGACTTGGACCTGCAATTTAGGCAGTTACAGACATACACAGACGCGTGATGGGGGTAACGTTTCCCTCGGCGTCTGTGTTTATGGAAATGAACTTTTATGATGAGACGATCCCTTAACAGTATGCTATTGCCCCGTGTGCAAACAAGAGCAATGATGTCGACCCAATTCATCAAAATCACTAGGTACTCGAGCTTTGGTTTGAAGTATGTTCATTTCATTCATCATCATATAATACAATCCCAACCAGCTCGTTGGCTCATCACACACACAGAAAAACTCATAAAACCACACTCATTACGCAGGGCTCGTCGTGGCTCTCCTCTTGACGAGCCGAACCCACCTCCGCCTCCTCCACTCGCCCCTGCGCCCGGTGCCGTCCTCGCCCTCCTCCCAGCTCAGCGTCGGCGCCGCGGGCACCCTCGCCTTGCCCTTGGCCGTGGTGGGCGAGTCCATGACGCCGCCCGAGAAGCTCGAGTTCTCGTCGTACATATCGTAGACCCAGCGCTCGCCCTCCGTCTCGACCTCGACGCCCGTGATGATGCGCTCCTCGACCCACTCCCTGCTCCAGAGGTCGAGCGCCCACTTCTTCTCGGACCACTCCCACCCGTCGGGCGGCAGGACGTCCTCAAAGAAGCGCGTGCCGCGGGGCCGCTCGCCCGCGATGCGCGGCTGGGAGAGCGGGTCGTACGGCGACGGGGAGAAGAGCCAGGGCTCCCACTCGTCGTGGGACTGGCGCTGCAGCTCGAAGATCTCGACTTCGCGGGTCTCCGGGGCCGAGTCGAGAATGATGTCGGCGGCGATCCAGGCCTCGACGCTCGAGCGGGCGAGGGGTTGGTGCGGGGCGACGTGGGTGTCGTGGGTGTGCGTGAGGAGCGGGGCGATGGCCGGGTGGCCGGAGAGGATGAGGCCCCAGCCTGCGACGAGGGCGATGAGGCGCCAGGGGAAGACGGAGGCGAAGGTCGTCATAAAGACTGTGGTGAGGGTCAGGGCGAGGAAGAGCGCCGAGGAGAGGGCTTCGTTGGAGAAGTTCGTGATGGGGAGGACGCTCGAGACGACGCTGTCGTGGGCGACGCAGAAGTCGTCCATCGAGTTCTGAAGGTCGCGCATGTTGCGGAAGAAGTCCTTGCTGAGCTCCTTGACCGGCTTGACGGTGCGCGCGGGGGCGAGCGGCGGGCCTTTCGGGGAGTAGCCGACGGACTGTTCGGAGGAGAGGGTGCCGGACGGCGGCGCCGGATGGCGGGCGAGGAAATGGGGGATGAAGACTGCGAGTAGAAAGCCGGCGAGCGGGACGACTGCGAGGAGGTACGGGTCCAGGCAGACGAAGGTGTAGACGGCGAGGAGGGATAGTGTGTGTGTCGGACGGCGCCAGCTCAGCAGGCGGACAACGCGGGCTTGAAACTTGAAGACCACGCCGATGCGGGCGTTGAAGCGGCGGAAGTTGTTGGACATCGTCGTGATGTTGAAGTTTGGCCGCTGGGAGAAGGTAGAGGTCTTGTCCGCGGGGAAGCCCGGGGCCAGAGTGTCGTCGCCGGCGGCGAGGCCATCGGAGCTCTCGGGAATGACTTGCTGAAGGAGTCTAACAGTGTCAGTATGCCATTCTTGAAGAATCAACTTCTTCATGAAGACTTACCTTTCAACCAGGCGATCCTGAATGCTCGTCTTCTTGCTGAGATTGTTCGCGATGCGCGAGCGCAGGCCGGACGGCGATTTCTTGGACGGGGTGGTGTCGTTGGCGTCGGAGTCCTGGGGCCACTCGTCTACGACGACGGTCGGAGGCGGCTGCCGCTGCTGCGGCGGCGAGCTATCGGATGTATCATCGCGGGAGATGAACAAATCGGCCGTGTATTCGTCCATGGTCACCGGTGCCGATGCCGTGGCCGCAAGGATGTCGTTGGTGGGTGTAGACGGTGCGAGGCGGGATGCGCCAGCGAGTGTTTCGTTTGCTGGTGTTTGACGTTCTGGGGGGTCACGTCATCGTCTGGTGGCAGGCAGGCAGTTGCCCAGCGTGCACAGCTGTCGGGTCTTTCTCGAAGGTGCCCCTCTGTCGGTGCGCCGAAACTTGCGTGACCTGCAACTCGTATCTTTTCCGTCGGTGTCACGGCGTTTTCCAACCTAAGCATCAAGGTTGATGCGCCTGTGTGGGGGATGGAGCTGTGTCATGCGGATGAGCTGCTCCGGGGTAGGTTGCTGGTTGCAGGCAGAGGAGCTTCCCCAGCTGCATGTGATTAAGACATGAGGTGGTGTGGGTGCTGCTGGGTCCGGCGGCAGCGGCCTGGAGCGGAGTCTGCGGCAGTCGATTGGCATTTGGCAGTTTGCGGCGGTTGACATCACATGCGCCAGCGCCAGCACCAACCAGCGTGAGCTCAACCCTGAGCTGCTGCACCTGCCACCGTAGGTAAGCAACCTGCCATCCAGCGTAAGTATTTTTCATGAGAGATGTCGCAGCAGTTGCATGCATCAGGCTGTGTCCAGTCGGCGTTAGCATCCAACGGCCGCACCTATATGACGGATACCGGTGCTTGTGTTGAGTATCATGCATTTCCTCAAGCTCACCAGTCTCCGCATCCGCGACCAAATACCCGGACGAGGATGTTGGTGTCACCCACTACCAGCATAAATAATTAACCCCAGATAGGGACACTGGCGCAGGACGGGTGTGGCTGACGAATTGGAGGGGATGCACCACGAGATCTGGCGGCGGGGTGTGGCCGATTGTTGAGCAGATCTCCGCTGAAGATGGCCCTCCATCTCAAATTACAGCGCCATTGCCATCCGAAGACACAAGACGATTGGCAGTCTTGCCTTTACGTGACGGAAATCGGCAGTTTCAGCCTCTGAGGCAACTGAAATACTTCGTCGTAGAGGTTGCAACCATTCAGTATCTGTAAATCTTGGTTGTTCATAAGGTACTGTCAACTGATTAGGTAATTTGAATGAATCGACAAACGCCCTTCGCTGTGAAATCGCGATATGACCTCCATAGCCAACACGGGGCGGGAAATTGCGCCTGCTCCTAGACCGCTTCTCAAGTTGGCTAGTGTTTGCTTGGTAACACGTGCACTGGGGGTTGAAGGAATAAAGAAGCGCGGAGAATGCCTCTTTGACAGTCTGGCGTCTTCGACATGACAAGAGGAGGGCTTGAAAGGCACCACGGAAGAGGGCAAACGCCACGCTAGAAGAAAAAGGAGGCATCCGCCGACACCTGCTCGGGCCCCGTTATGGCCTTGCCCGGCCGCATGCCAGTCTAAGTCGATCGGGCCAAGGCTCATCGCTTCAACGAGGCGTACAGGAGTCTCCAGAGTTGCTCAAGGACAACGGCGTGCGGTCAGAGACGCCCCATCGCCTCATGGCGTGCGTGACACGGGAGTTAGCAACTGCTCGATGGGTTGAAGCTGCAGAAGCTGGGATCCTGCTGTAGCCCGCGCTCTCTGCTGGAATGGAGCCAGTCTGCTAGTGTTTCCCCTGGCTAAAAAGGGAAGCAGATCGCTGCGGCCGGAGCTTCTGCATACTGGCAAGAAGTACCTCTTAACACTTTTGACATCGACCGTGACGGGTGATTGTCTAGACCAGACCGGACCGTAGACGGCTTCAGTCATACGAAGTCAAGCTTCGAGACAGCTCAGGTGAGGCAAGTAAGGCAAGTGAAGGCCATCGACCAAGACGTACATAACCGACAAGGACCTGAGGACATTGAGAGCGCTGGGTGCCAACCAGCTGTGAGCGACTGAATGCGACGGTAACGCGTCGCCATGTAGATCTCGAATTTGATGGTTCGCATTGAGTGATGAGGGGTTCGAAACGAAAGCCGACGGGCCCAGCGCAGCAAGATGTTGTAGGCAAGCGGTCAGGCACCCGATGATAGCATGACCCTGTTAAGAAAACATTGGAACACGGATAGCCATGCAACTTCGTGTCTTATGATTGGCCGCCCAAGACAGCAAAACAATATCCCACGAAATGATGGCCTGTATCAGGAGCCCAGCCGAAGTTGATGCAATTGGGCTGCCGTTCCTTTCATATCGATCTGACGGTTCAAATCCATTCAACTCATCAGCGCGAGCCACTCTGTTTGAGTCTCTGGCAGCGACGCATTCTGAGTCAACAGGCAAGTCTGATGACCGTCAAGAACGCGCCCGTCGACCACTGGCGCATGGCGCAATCAAAGTCCCATGAGGCCCGCAAAGCACGAAGGGCAGCTGTCAGTGTCACCGCTTCGTCTCCGGTCGGGCTGCCAGGCCGGTCAGTGATGCCGAATGACAAGTGACAAGGACTGTTGACCATCGAAAGACAGACAGAGCCCCATTTTGCCCGACTATCCAGCCGATCCCCGGCAGCCGAGAGTTGGGCAGCGGTCAACCGTGTCAGCCGCTGCTGCAAGCCCACGTTGTCTCTTCTGCTTGGTGCTGAAGAAAAGGACAGCCACTCAGGCTATCGATATCGCCATGGGCATCAATCCTAAGGCTGACTTGCACCAGATATCCGGCCTGTTGTTTACGGTTGTCCCCGGAAACGAGGACGCGGTTACTGGCCGCTACTCGCGACCTGGCAGCGACTTGCATGACGGACGTCTGCACGGGGAATTGGTTTGCTGTGTGTAGCTGTGTCCCATCCAATCCTCTTGGGGAGCCAGCCCAAGATGCAGATGGACCCACGCATCCCGTCCCATTGTGATCCCATCCCGGCAGGCGGCTTCCCCCAAATCCCCCATTCCCACTGGACAGATTGACATGTTGCTTTAGGCGTTGAGACAGTTGAGCGGTGCCCCCCATGCACGGGATCCGGGGTCCTCTCACTTGGTTGATGCGGCGACGACAAGGACAACAAGATGCCGCGGTGACGCAGGGACACACGTCGTCTTCGCAGACTCTTGTTGGTCTGGAGACTTTGGAAATGGAGCCTGAAGACTGGGACCTGGGCCCGTGGGAGCGGGCACACCAATAGCACTCGTCATCAGCGCGACTGGAAACGAGAGACGCGTCGAATGATGGCTCCGGACAGCGGAAGCTTTCAGTGCGGCCCCCTTTGGGACGAGTCTTGTAAACTCTGAAGTGCAAGTGCGGTGCAGAGACCCGGCGCAACCGCAGCGCAGCCGCGCCACTTGGTTACGCGCACACATGGGATGCTGCAGCAACCCGAAACTCGGACTGGCTACTTGGAAGCTGGACGAGTCGTGTAATTGCGAAGTAGATAGTAGTGTCGCGGCGGTGGATCATGGAATTGAAGTGAGGTGGTACGGATGAGCGTTGCCGATGGCTCATCTTGAACGCGATGCCATGCGATGCGAGTTGATGCGGCTCCCCGAGCGCCTCATACGTAGGGGAGAAGTGTATATCGCAATTCATCTCGCTGCGATTGCAAACAGCGGGGTCTTCATCAAACGCTACCAGCGCGAGCCATCGAAGAAAAAGACAAAAAGCCAAATCTGTGGTTGCTTGTGTCGACGGCTAATGGCAAGAGGGTTGGGTTGACCTTGGGCAAGCGGACCGGAAATGATTGTTTGCTTGTCTCTGTGGAGAAATTCAAGATCCCTGGCCGTTTTGTTTTTGGAGTCTTGAACCCCTCTCTCAACTCTCAAGTCCCCAACGGCGGGAGGGAACAAAGGCGATTTGACGGCGCCCGCCTGAGCATTTTTCTCCCTTCCCCTCTTGAATGATCAGTCGGTGCGATGAGATGGATCACATTTGATGGGCGTGGTGAGATGGGACGAGATTGATGGAGCGAGGTAGGGAAGGATGGATTGAATTTGATACCCGCCCGCTCCATAAGATTTGCCTCATTTTGGGAGGTTATTTAGCGGCCAGGGAAACAAAAAAAATCACTACGAGAGGGGACGAGAGGGGGGCAGCAGCACGCTATTTGGCGGGTTCCATCTTCCATTTGCTCACACCGCCCAAGCTGCGATTTCCGTGAGGTAGGTGCCACCTGGGAACCCATAGGTTGGTGGAAAGGAAGTTGAAGTCGGTAAGGCACCGTGGGCACCTGCGGAGTCCCTTTTTCTGCTAGCGCAGACCAGAGAACGAGGAGCTCGTGCAAGGAACGAACGGGTATCCCTGTTGAACGGGAACCCGACCTCCCTTTCTCAAAATCAAAATGCGAGTTTTTGGACGGGGCCAAGCGAGTGAGCGGGCGGACGGCGGGCGGGCACTGGCACCGACCACCACCACTACGGGCACTGGGCAGTCCAGTCCAGTGTCCACCCACCCTCACCACCGCTATTTCGTCGCGCTACTGCCATCATCACCCGCCGCCTTTTTTTTTTTCTTTCTATTTTGCAGCGAGTTTTTCCTAGGTCCCCCCCAATCCCGTCCCTTTCCCCGCCCATTTCAATGTTTCCCCCCCGGTGCACTGCAGTGCGTTCGCCCACCAAGCCCGGCCTCCATGTCTCTGGCCTGCAGCTGCAGCGTGTAGCGTGCTCAAGGGACCTGACCTTGTCTTCCTCCCGCCTTGTAGTTTACCACTCTAAATGGGAGGAGAGATACTTGCCGGTTAAATCATCCTAAGGCATGTAGGTTTGCTTCGGCCTCGTACCTTACTTTCCGGGCCTTAGGTAGATCCTCACAACAGAGTCAGGGACCTGGCCTCCATCGCTTGGGCCAGCCTGCAGTCTGAGGGAATGATTGGAAGAGTGGATGTACGGCCTCTGCCCTCCTGCCCTCTGTGTTTGTAGACGGTTCAGTCTGGTCACCTCGTCTTCGACGGCACTGGAGAGCAACAAAAGGCAAAGCAAAAGAGGTCAGGGAGACAGACGTACGTAGTAGGTAGGTACCTGCGCCTGCACTTCAGTTAGATACCACGCTGCACCTGCACCGCTTTCTCGCTCCCGGCATCCATCCATCCAACTTGCACCAGTCCAGTCTCTTCCTCCACCCGCACTCACAGCACGCTTCTGATTCGCATCTAAGCACCTCTAGACGGGGTGAGGAACCGAGAAAGAGGCTCCAGTGTGCTCCAGTGCTCCAGTCCAGCGCTCCACCACCCTGGTCGTGACCACTGACCTGCCTGCCACTGACAAGCGGCGACGGGCCCTTCTTTTTCGACAAAAACAACCACCAGACCAGTCCACTCCAGGACCAGTCCCGACCAGACCAGTCGTCGTCGTCTCGTCTCGTCTCCTCCAGGACTGCATCGGTTCACACTCCAACCTCACTCCAACCTGCCCCCGACGGCTTGGTGGTAATCCCGACCGCGCACGCCTGCCTCTCCTTTCCACAACACCTCGTCGACTTCGAAATCTTCAATCACGTCTGTTTTCCCCGTCGACGAATCGCCGCCACATTCCATCGACCGTACCGCTCTGCCCTCTGTTGTTCCCCGGAATGAGGTAGCATCATCAATGCTCTCAGCTCCCTGACCGGACTGAGGTTGCCCGCTCGCGAAATCGCACCGCGCCCTCGACTCAACATTCGCCGACTTCCTAATCTCGCCACATCTCGCCTCGTCGGCTTCTCTACTCACGCCTTCACGTCCAACGCTCGCATGACCTGCGCGCTGGCCGTTGCACCGAGTACACATGATAAGGGAGCATAGAGTACCTGCTGGCCCGCGACCGGCGAACCAGTCCCCGACAAGACTGTATGGAATGCCCTCATCTTTCGTTTCCCGCTCTTTTTTTTGACCCCGTCCCGCCCCCCTTACCCGCTCTTTGTTGCTGCTGTGCCCTGCATCCCTGAAGAAACCAGTGTGCTAATCCGCCAAAAACTTGCAGTAATAGGGGCATCCCGGACTCGAGAACCACCTCTCCCTCAAAGGGCTCGCTCGCGGACGGTCCAATGCTCAGTGCATCTTCGGCCAACAACCACTCTCTGTTTTCATTCGGTCGGAATGGCGCCGCGAATGAAGTAGGAGAGTCGACTAATTCTTTTGACTTTCTGCCCTCGGTCAGCTTCGACGACCTCCAAAGCAGCCTTGAGTCCGCATCCCACGATTTCAAATTGACCCAGTTCCCGTCCCCGACCGGTCAAGGCAGCATTCTAGAGACTCAGGGCATGACCGACAAAATGGGCGGGGGCTCCAATACGACCCAGAATGGCGGAGCCGCGCGTGCTGGTGGTATTCCTCAGACCGCGACCCGCCCTGGTAGATCTGGTTCTATTCTGAGGAGACCTAGTACCTCCAACAGACAGGCCAGCATTTCATCCATCGCCTCAGGACCATCGTCCGGCACTGATTCTGCGACTGGGTCTTCAGCCGCGAGACCCCGACGTCAGAGTCATTATCCTCCAGTATCAAACACGAATATTACCAACATTGCGAAGCCTCCCAGGAAATCCATCGGTCCGGGTCCCATTGAGACGGACTTCGGCAGTCGCACCGCGCAAAGGAGTAGGAGACCGAGCATCACAGGCAACGCTGGTGGTGGACCCGATTCCACTCGGACCTCGATCGATGGCAGCTCCGGCGCTGGTTTTGAGACTCCGCGAAACCTCACGAACAGAGCGACCAAAGCTAAATCGATGCACCAAGCACTACCCCGGACAAGCACCACAAATCTCTCGACCCCCGACAGCAGTCGTCTGTCCACGATATCTCCTCGATCACCTCGAGGTGGAAGTAAGGGAAATACTGGCGGCGCTGGCGGTTCTGCCCATTCGCAGTCGAGAAGACAATCAGTGATGCCCGGAGGAGGGTCCCACGCATCGCACGCAAGCGGTCTCGGTGCCAGGACCATCAGTCCGACCGACACGCGACGAATGAAGCGCATGTCCATGCACCACGTCCCGAGTCTCACCCAGCTGGCCAACGCGCCGCCTCCCCCGCCGCTCGAGCACCGAGAACACTCCAGATCCCCATCGATGATACCCCGAAAGGCATCTGCCACGCCATCATCATCTCGAACGACTCCCGACATGCACAGAAAATCGTACAGTTCGGGCTTGTCCATCACCTCGACCAACAGCTTTAATACCATCAGAACCTCGACCGGCTCATCAATCCAGCCACGGGCACCCGCCGCGGGAAGTGCGTCGCGTCTGCCAGCCCCCAAGCAATTTACCCCACATAACCACAACTCCCATTCCGCTGATGACGAGGAGGACGTTCCGCCCGTGCCTGCTATTCCGAAAGCGTACGAATCACCACAGCAGTCAGCCACAGAAGGATCGTTTTTGGACAAGCGGAAAGCCAATCTTGCTGCGGATGCTAGCAGCATCAATAGTAACTCCACTGGCAGTTTCTCCATCCCGTCGCTCCCTGAACCCGCTGTCAAGCTGGTACGAAAGCCCAGCACCCGGAAGTCGACGAATGCAGCAGCCCTGGACGCCGAAAAGAAAGGCAACCCGTCTCAATCGAGAAAGAACCCTCCTCCTCCTGTGCGGCTGCCCCCAATTACTGTTGGGCCGCTGAACCCATCCACGACCGCCAAGATCGCAGCGTTGGGTCAAAATGGTCCCGACAGGAACTTAAGCCCGCCACCGTCGCGTATTACCGCGAAGACGCCCACCACCCCCATGACCGCGTCTAAGAGCTCCTTCTTCTCCAGGAACCGACAAGACGATAAGTCGGACTTCAGCCTGCGAAGCAGCAGTACTGTCCACCACGCACGTCTCGACAGTGCATCTGGCGCTGATGGTACAAGCTCATCCGAGTCATTCGAGGCCTTGTCCAGAAAGCCAACCAACAAGCCCAGCGTGTCCCCGTTCTTGTCTTCTTCAGTACCCAAGGGAGGCCCCGATCCTGCTTTCCTGAAGAGGTCCAAGACCGGCGGCGACTTGAGCAACATCACTGGGCCTCTTGACGTGAAGCCCATTCAAAAGCCATCTGGCCCGCGTGCTCCCCGCCCCTCCAAGGCAATCTCGCCAACTCCGCCAGCGTCCGATCCAGAGGAGCCCCCTACGCCATCATCAATGAGCTCGCTGCGTAGAAAGCTGAGCTTGTCGTGGAAGCGTGGGAAGAACGACTCAAAATCTGCACAGGACAAGACCTTGGAGCGCAGCCTTAGTAAGGAACAGATGCCTCCGCCACGCTTGCCCATCTCCGCCACGGTCTCGAACCTAAGTTCGGCAAAGAACAGTCCAAGCCCGTCAGTCAAGGTTAACACATCTTACTTGGATTCAAGAAGGAGGAAGAGCTCAGCGGCAAGCTTGGGCCACGATAGGACTAAGAGTGAGAATTGGACCTCGGCTTCCGTTCCTAAGGCTCACCCCGAATCATCTCACCCTCATAACCCTTCTGTCATGCAAAAGATTCTTCGCCCGAAGGCGTCAGCGACGGCGATTCGCCACCAGGACCCGTGGACCGCAGATCTCGACAAGGACGACCTCGTTGCCGAGGAGGAGATGAAGAAGATGGGCGCAAGAAGAAAGGAGACCGAGATCGCGGCTCGAACTCTTGACGCCCTGAGGAAACGCGCAACGCCAAAGGAGCGAGTCGGTGCCCAGGAAGCCATCCGGATCGCGATGCTCAACATTTACGAGCGCGGCGAAATCGTTGATTACAACGACATTTACTTTTGCGGAACGCAGAACGCTCGCAAGGTGGTTGGTGATCTCCAGTCGGACGCGCCCAACTTCGGCTACGACGACGAGCGTGGAGACTACACCATCGTGCCTGGCGACCACCTCGCCTACCGCTATGAGATTATCGATGTGCTTGGAAAGGGAAGTTTTGGCCAGGTCGTCCGGTGCATTGATCACAAGACAGGCGTGCTTGTTGCCGTCAAGATCATTCGCAACAAGAAGAGATTCCACCAGCAAGCTCTTGTCGAAGTCAACATCCTGCAAAAGCTTCGCGAATGGGTAAGGTTCAAAGAATTACACACAATTTCTCAAGCTAACAATAGAACAGGATCCTAAGAACAGGCACAGCATGGTCAACTTCACCCACAGCTTCTACTTCAGAGGACATCTCTGCATATCTACCGAGCTTCTGGATATGAACCTTTACGAGTTCATTAAGGCGAATGCGTTCCGCGGATTTTCTTTGAAGCTAATTCGCAGGTTCACCAAGCAGATGCTCAGCTCACTGAATCTTCTCAAGCAGCACAAGGTCATTCACTGCGATCTCAAGCCAGAAAACATTCTGTTGCGTCATCCTCTGCACTCAGAGATCAAGGTCATCGATTTTGGTTCCAGCTGTTTCGAGAACGAGAAGGTGTACACCTACATTCAGTCGCGTTTCTACCGGTCCCCCGAGGTCATCTTGGGCATGACATATGGCATGCCCATCGACATGTGGAGTTTGGGATGTATCCTGGCCGAGCTGTACACCGGAGTGCCCATTTTCCCTGGTGAGAATGAGCAGGAACAGCTCGCTTGTATCATGGAGGTGTTTGGTCCGCCAGAGAAGCACCTGATTGAGAAGAGCACGCGCAAGAAGCTGTTTTTCGATTCCATGGGCAAGCCACGTCTCACGGTGTCCTCCAAGGGACGAAGACGTCGTCCTTCTTCCAAGACCCTCCAGCAGGTTCTTAAGTGTGACGACGAGGCATTCCTCGACTTCCTCGCAAGATGTCTACGATGGGATCCGGACAGACGTCTGAAGCCGGAGGAGGCCATTCACCACGAGTTCATCAGTGGCAAGAAGATGAGCGCCCCTCTCCCGCGCATCCCCACGACCCGCGAGGCGTCTCCGGCGAAGCGTCACACTACGGCTGCGGCACCGCGCCCACTCCCCGAACCCCCCGCCGCAGGTTTCAAGAGCAACCCTGGATCGAGGCACGTTAGCGGGGCAAGCCCTCACAAGCCCGTCTCGGGGCCGCCGACCTCGCGCAGACCCTCGGTCGCAACCGCCGGAACCGTCCATGTTGCCACGGCCAAGCGCACCAGCACGGGGACAGGCGGTATCACCGTCGGAACCAGCAACCTCCCTCGCGCGGCGATGAGGAGTGTGAGCGCCAAACAGGACCTTGCATCTGCCGGAGCGACCGCGGCCATGAGTCGGCGACAAGTGTAGGGGAGGCATGCAGGCCGGCCAGGATTGGCAAGATAGAAAGAGCCAGGCGGATCAAGCATTTACAGGCGAGGTGGTTTACGAATCATTGGGTAGTTGATTGCTTTTGTTTTTTATTCCCTCCTAACGCTACATCCCTAAAGGGCAGTGAACATGTTCCTGCGCCATGACCACGTTTGAATGGAGTGACGGAATACCCAGCACGAAGAGTCACAGCCGGCAGGAAAGGAGTCAAATTTGGGGCATGGCGGGGCAGTTTTCTTCATGATGAGCGAGCAGTCCGGGTGGTGGTTGTGGTGGGTGTCATGTCGGATCGGATGACCAACACACAGACACACCCTTGTTCTTTTTTGTTACTCAAAACCGCATTTTCTTTTCTTATCGTAACCTTCTTCTACCCTAGCTATATACAGACAGACACGAGTCTAAAGCCCCCTTCCCGCGGACAACCACCAGCAGAGAAGGGGCTCCATGTACGTTTGGTGGATGGGATGGAGGAGCGAGAACTCGTTAAAGGACGGGAGTGTCCGAAGAGGCACGGGCCGCTGTTTGCCCGTCCGTCATTTTTGCAAGGATAAAATGAGAACGAAGGCGAGAGATGTGTATATTAATAATGACGAATGGCCTTGGAATGAGTGAAATGCAGACCGGACTGGGGCAGGCGTGTTTGTGTGTTTGGCTGTTCATGTGTGACTCTAGGCATCGGTGAGGGAAGACCGAAGATGTCGCTGCTGCCGGCTGTTACCTCGCAATCACGGTAGATGTGAAGCAGTAGGATGGGGTTTGGGCAGGAGAAGCGACGAGGTAGCGGCTCGCACTTGCGTCTGAGGCAAAGAAGGGTCAAAAAGTTTGCGATACTCTGCGGGTTGGCTGTGTTCTCTCTCCTTCCACTTCATCTAGAACCTCCTGAACCCTGTTGCCTGCGATATTTTGAGGTCGAGACACGGGCGGAGAGGCGGCAACGTAGAAGGCAAGGCAGACGATGAAGCGTCAATAGAAGGCGGGACGCCGACTGGGAAAGAAGTATGCCTTTGGGGCCGCAAGAATGCGCCTTCTTGAGACGATGTGATGGTGTGCCTGTTGAGAGAGATCATGAGGTTTGTCGTTTCTGGCCCCCGTTCCTTCCCAGGCAACGAGTGTGATCTCGAGAAAGGGTACGATATGGATGGTATGGTATGTGGCGAGAAGCCAACAGTTTCGAAAGGAAAGGCAAAGGGGAAGGATTCCAAGGCGAGGCCGGCTACGAACCGTTGGTTCTGTTTCGTTCGAGGCCTCCCTTTAGAACAGGCCACGCCCCCCCCCTCTCCTCCCCTGGTCAGCATTGGGGGCCGAAGAACGAAGATGAGCTGTCACCTCTTCTTTTTGCTTTCGAGGGTCGCTCTCTACGTACCGTACCGTTCCTGTGAAGGGGGTGGTTGTGGTGATGTGATGGGAGGTTTGGGGGCACACGTCCCAGATGGTGGAAAGGGTGGTGATACAGTGGGCTGGTGGTGAGCCTTGTAGGGCTGGGGAGGAGGGTGTGCGTCTGGTCACCTCAGGGAGAATGAAGGGTGATACGAAGCGCGACCGAGACCCCGGGATCACGGCAGATGGGCCTCCAAATGCCGAGATTCCTCCCCCCATTTCTTGTTTGTTTGGTTGTATCTCTCGGTGTCCGTTTGAAGCCTTTCTACGAGGAGCTCGGGTCAAGAGGAAGGCATTGGATGAACCCCTGTTCCTGGGACGGACGGTTCTGTCAATGGAGCGAACTAGGACTTGAATGATTGAAGGTTTTTTTTTTTTCTCTGCCGTTTTTGCTTTTGGGGTTTCCTCATCTGGACGAACACGATGAGGCTGAAAGCTGGGAAAGGCCTCCGGTGACGATCCTTACCGAGAGAAGAATGACGGTGTCTACATTTAGCAGGACGAAAAGCAAAAAAGAGGGCATCACGAAAAAGCTTCCGGGCCACGGGCCACCGGGGCCGGGGTCATCCGTAGGCCTCCGGAGGAAAACTCCGTCCCGGAAGAGAAAAGATGCGGGGAGAGGGTCCGTAGAGCTAGAAATAGAAAAAAGAAGCTATCGTGAAAGAACAGACCACCACCAGAAAAACAGGGTCTTTGTTCCCTGAAACATCGCGCTACCCCTTCCCTCCCTCCCCTGCCCTTGTTCGACCGTTTGCCGTGAGAAACGCGCTATCGCGGGTCATGACACAATCCCCTGTCCTATTTTCCTCGTCAAGTGGGAAATAAAGTGTTGATCACAGTGAAAGCTGAATGAGCAAAGCGCCCCCCTTGGAAGGTGGAGCGAGTCCACGCGCTTGCTGGTATGCATACCTTATGGATATTTTGACGGGACAATCAGTAAACACTAAATCAGATTTCTGGCCTTGCATTAAGACTTGAAGACATGGGAGGAAGAAATTCTGAATGTGAAAGGCTGTCACAAGCCGTGGCGACGGCCTTCCTGACGGATTATGTGACGTTGGGGGCGACCAGGTTCTTCGGTAGCACCGGGAAGGATGCGAGGGACGTTTCCCACGGCGGCAAGGCGGCTGTTGTCAGACGCTCCCAAGGTGTGCGCGTGCAAAGGTGGACAGGCCGAAGTGCGAAATATGCCTTGTAGGATTCAACGTCTGCCGAGGTGGTTATTCATCGTCCCTGTGCCGTCTGGCGCGATGGATCCGCGCGGATGTCATGATCTGCACGTAGGGCGAAAGGCTTGACAGCTTTTCGACTCAGAACCAAAAAAGATCGGCCGAGGAGGGCCAGCGGCTGTGCTCTGAACCAGGGTCTCTCGATCGAAGGGGGTCACCATACCCAGTGGTAAGGTTCGTAAGGCCGCTTGATAGACGCCGAGCGGGCCTTTTGACATGCAGGTTCGCCAGAGCTGAAGACATGGTCTGGGTCGGTCAAGGACTCAAGGGTCAAAAAGACCAGTCGAGACCACGTTGAGCCTCAGATTTGCCACCGGCATGCCGTGTTTCAGAAGAACGTTGAAGACGAACAAGTCAGGTATGCTCCGCTGCGGGTGCCTGGTCTGCAACGATCATACGAACTTGACTGGTAGAACGAGAGGTGCGGGAGGGGCGCGCCCCCGGATGGATCCCCTCACACGCCGTAGTCGTGGGAATGCGGCCGCGGGAGGAGGCCAACGGCGGAGCTGAAGCATGGGGGGGTCGAGGAGAAGACAATCTGCGGCGCGGTTCGGGGAGTTTTCTTCTCCCTTCATGACGAGGGGGCCTGTTCAGGTTGGACAGGACATTTGCGGATGCAGAGGTCGCACGGTCAGCATGGAAGGAAGCAGAGTCAAGTCGAGGGAACCGTTGAACGGCAGCATCGGCCGAGTACGGATTTGGAAGCGGGGCGTGGCTGGGGAGCCTGGGCCAAGCCTTGACTGTGGTTCAGCACCTGTAGACACTAGCCGCAATAGGCGTCAAGTTTCAACAACAGCGGGCGGCTCTGGGATGCGATCAAGGTACCAGGGACTTGGGAGATAGGGCAGGGGAGGGGTGAAGCTCTCTTACCTCTGAAATCACGGTGTAGGGTATGACGCGGGATTGGAGAGATGACGGAGGCTGCTCCGTAGCTTGCGAGAGCGGCTATCACGGCCGGGATTCTCGTTGAAAGCGTAGTTTGGTAAAGGCATCTAATGACGGCGATGACGGACGCGATGGGCAAGTGACGGGGCAGCTCGTAAGATGAAGACGTAGACTGCATAGTCTGGCACATAGGCGTGTTTGCTGTGGACGATGCGCGGAGGGACTTCTGCCCGACAAAACAGGCATCCGAGGACGCGAATGTCTCATTGAGCTTCGCGATAAGAGCGATGGGAAGCAATGACGCTGGCAGTCGGAAGTCGAGTGCAGCATAGCATAGCGGTATGGCGGCAGTTGCATACGTAGTGTAGGAAGTGTGGAAATGTCGAGCAGCAGGCCCACCCAAGACCGACGGCGACTCCGGCCAAGACATGGTGAGCAAGTCGGGGTGACGGCGTTGAGCGGTGGATAAAAGTGGACCTAGAACTCTTGATCCCACCGTGATGGCAGAAGGCCCTGGCCGCACTGCTGGCCCAAGGATCCGTGATGTGGTTCAGTCCCCGTGGCTTGCTGACTCCCGAGGCTGTGCTGGAGCTAACAAGACAGGGGCCTGGCCATCATCCACTGCAATCGACGGCCAGTTTCGACGGGGAGAAGGTGAGATGGAGGAATTCGTCCAGTAGTAATTCGAGAAAGTCGCTGTGCTTCGCTCGTTATCCAATCGCTTGCGCTCCCTGTGAGACAGCAGACCCTTGCTCCCAGCGACAATCCCCCGCAAAGTGATGTATGTTGAAATGAACGAGGCTGATTGAGTCCCTTTTGCAGCGACTAGAGCAGGATGGAGTCAATGATTGTGCATACTAATGATTCGATTCTTGGTTTCGAGTGTGTGACTGCGTATCCGTAGCTCGGCGGTTCAGGTCTTGCGTCCTGCAGGTAGTTGACGACAGTCGAGACAAGCGTCATGCAGGTCCGGACTTGGAGGAGGTTGACATTGGCTGTGTTTCTGTCTTCTGCGTGTGCGGAGGATGGTGTATAGCACCCATGATAAAGCTTCTGGGATAGTTCCGCGATTGGATGCTGCAATAGGTGCAGAAGAGGGCGAGATGGGAAACGGAAAAATGGTCATCTTGGCCTTGTCCACACTCTGCGGGTTTCTTGACCCAACGCCCGCCTGCCCACACGGTTCCGCAGACGGGATGGGGCCGGTGGACAGTCGGAGCCATGGGTACGGGGGACACGTGCGAGTATCGGACCGTTGTAGTCGGACACCGAGTGCCGCGCAACCATTGGCGGTTGCAACGCACTGGATTGCCCGTTGGATGCGCGGCAGTTGACGCCTGTGGTCATTTTGCCCGGATTGTGACTCTTTTCCGGGCGTTGTTGTGTCTTGGACGACGTTTGGCCTCGGTGAGTGCAGGCCGCAAAAAGCGTAGTGGTGTACTGCTAGTTCTGAGGGTTGGGGTTACATCGAACACCCAACGTCTG